CTCATCATCATCATCATTTTAACTATTTTTTTCAAATTTTTTTTAGAACATTTGAATTTGATCATCATATCATAAGCGATGTCGGAATTTCCGATGGCGGCGGCAGCTGGAGGTGGCGGTCAATTTCCTGAATTTCCGGCAGTTTATACTCATGGAGGACAGTTTATACAGTACAATATTTTTGGTAACTTGTTTGAAGTTACTGCTAAGTATCGCCCTCCGATCATGCCTATTGGCCGAGGGGCTTACGGTATTGTCTGGTAATATTCATTTTCCTTTTTGTTATCTTGTTCGGAATTAGTTGTCACGTTGATATAATAGTGTCGGTTGTTTGGTGATCGATATTTTTTTCTTATGTTTTTTTTTTTGTGGTTTGTGTTGGGCAGTTCGGTTTTGAATACAGAGACAAAAGAGATGGTTGCATTGAAGAAGATTGCAAATGCTTTTGATAATTACATGGATGCTAAGCGTACTCTTCGTGAGATCAAAATCCTCCGCCATTTTGATCACGAAAATGTCTGTTCTTTGTCTTTTTTCATTTATTTATTCATTTTTATTTGATCATGGATGCGACTTTTTCAAAAAAATTAATGTTCGCGAAAATAACCCATATATGAGTTGTCTCAAATAACATACAAGTCAAAAAAAAAAATGTTACTCCATTTATTATTATTAGTTGGTTTTAGTATTAAAATCGCTAATTATATGTACTTTGTATGCGGAAAAGTTATTAAAATCACTTATTTTGTATAGTTCATTCTGTACAAACCCGGGTATAGCTAAGAATTTGTGTATGATTTTTTCTTTAACAAAATTTTAATAACTTTAATTTATGGAATTGGGTTACATGACAGTCGAATGACTTGTAAAATTTGCTGGATTATAAATTTAATACGAGTAAAAGTTTTACTTGATTAGCATACTTTTATTTAAAGTTGACTTTGGAGTATAAGAAAAAGGTTTAAAGTTCAAACTTGGCAAGAAAAGTTGGATAATTCTATAGAAATTTTTTTATTTTCTATAGAAATTTTTTTATTTTTTTTTTAAAAGGCAACTAATAGTTGTTACTGCTTGCTTGAATCAGATCATAGTATTAAGAGATGTTATACCTCCTCCTGTACGAAGAGAATTCACAGATGTATATGTCGCGACTGAGCTTATGGATACTGATCTTCATCAGATAATTAGATCACACCAAAGTTTATCAGAGGAGCATTGTCAGGTATAATACTCTTCTACTTTTGCACGAAAACAAAAATTCATGTGTATTTACAAATCTTTATCATTATAGTGCTAATGGGTTGCTAGCAAAGTTACAAAGTGGTCATATCATGCTCTACTTCTATAAGGCAATGTGAATCACATAGACGTGATAGGGGTTGCTCGTTATGATCATTATATGTTGTACGATGTATAAAATTTCATACCAAAAAGTATAAACCAAGGATGATAGTTGTTGAATATTGACACTTATGACTGGTTGAGTACCTTAGAAGTACTTTAGGAGTTAGGACATTATGTGAATGTGTGTTTTGAAGCTTTATCCTTAGGCTTTGTGATAAAACAGACAATCACATTATCTAACAGTAATGCGAACTTGTTTCAGAATTGATTCATTTAGTAGTCATATGTTTTGTTTTGGAACTTCACTCATCACAATGTACCATATATGCTTGCAGTACTTCTTGTACCAGATTCTTCGAGGGCTTAAGTACATCCATTCTGCTAATGTCATTCATAGAGATCTGAAGCCAAGCAATCTATTGATAAATGCAAATTGTGATCTTAAGATATGTGATTTTGGTCTTGCACGGCCAACCTCAGAAAATGAACACATGACTGAATATGTTGTCACTAGATGGTACAGAGCACCTGAGCTTTTGCTCAATTCTTCTGATTACACTGCTTCAATTGATTTGTGGTCTGTGGGCTGCATATTCATGGAGCTCATGAACAGAAAGCCTTTGTTTCCTGGCAGGGACCATGTCCACCAAATGCGACTGTTGACAGAGGTGAGATTTTCTGAGACAAACTAGAATCAGTCCATTTTACTCGAAAAGATTGATTCCTTGCTGTCAATATTATGTCATTTTTCCTCAACTAAACAAATTGATTCACATTGTTTTAACCTTTCACAATTGAGAATGTGATGTAATTTTAGTAGAAAATCTTCTATAACAACACATTACTACTCTCTTTTTTAAGTATCGTGGAAAGTTAAATCATATTGTTAACTAGGTATGAATATGTGACATTATTTCAGACACATCCCAATATATACTATATATATGTCACTGTCATTTTTGGAAGGACAGAGTATATGAATGCAATATGAAATAGGTTGTATACATGATGTGATCCGCTGTTTCCTTCCATATGGATTAAAGATGCATTGATTGTTTTCACTTTGCAGTGATCATTAGACTTTACGACTTGCTCACACACTAGTTGACTTTAATCGGTGTAATATTGCCAATGTTAACTTGAGTACTGATCCAAGTTTCCTCTTCTTTTCAGCTTCTTGGGACACCTACTGAAGCTGATCTAGGTTTTCTTCATAATGAAGATGCAAGAAGATACATACGACAATTGCCACCACAACCTCGTCAGCAGTTAAGACAACTTTTCCCCCATGTTAATCCTTTAGCAATTGATCTTATCGAGAGGATGCTGACATTTGATCCCACAAGGAGAATTACTGGTAAGTTCTTGTCACTTGGGAAATTGCATTCTTGAAAGAAATGGTCTTTTCCACCATATGTTGAAACCTTGCTTTATTATATACTCGACATAGCTTGATGATTGTTAGTCATTTGGTATTCAACTCTGTAGCAACACCAAAATCTTCGTTTATTGACTTACAGGCACGTGTATAGGGTAATGAAACAAAGAAACTGAGATCTCAGACAATCACATTTATTAGGAGACTTCTCTGATGCTCTTCATTACCTATTATGGTTTTCAGTATGACTAATTTTTTTACTTTTTACTCATGCAGTTGAAGAAGCATTAGCACATCCTTACCTTGCTAGATTACATGATATCGCGGATGAACCTGTATGCCAAGAGCCATTCTCATTTGATTTTGAGAACCAAGCCTTAACCGAAGAACAGATGAAGGACATGATCCATCAAGAAGCTTTAGCACTCAACCCGGGATACATATAGCATGTGCCTCTGAGAATCAACTCTTCTCTTGGGTTATATCATATCATTGCTAATTGACACCTGCAGTAGTGCAGTATGATGGCTTATTATTTTTCTGGTACAGTGATATGTTTGAATTCTTTTATTTAGGCATATGATATGTAATATAAACATTTAATTTTTTATATCAGCTTCAGTAGTTCTGATTGTTCAGACTATGTTTGAATTCTTTTATTTAGTCAATGTACCTTTGCTTTTGTTATAACTTGTAAGTTCATCAATAATGGCATTATATATGTTATTTGATTGGCAGCTTATGCTATACAAAATACAAGGTACTAAATTCAGTTTTTTATCACAAAAAAAGATAGTACTAAATTCAGTTTATTTCTTATATATTCACTTTTCCTAGATATTTCAAGTCATTTATTCATATACTTTTTACTTTTTTTTTTTTTTTTTTTTTTTTTGACAGGCATTTATTCATATATTTTAAAAGAAGTACATTATGGCCTTGTTTGGCAAATGGCTGTTGACGGTTGGCTGTTGGCTGGTTCACTTGGCTTGTTTAACCAGCTGAAATGTTTGGCTGTTTATAATGGCTTTTGAAATTGGTTGTTTAAACTGGATGTTTATAAAAGTGTTTGGTAAATTAATTGTTGGTTGTTGGCTGTTTATTAGATAATTTGTGGGCCAACAAGCCAACAAGCCAACAAAAAAGCTACTCAAAGCAGCTTTTTTATTTTGGCTTAAAAGCCAACTTTTTCACTGACAAAAAAGCCATCTTTTTCGCTGACTAAAAAGCCAATTACCAAACACATTTTTTGGCTGTTTGACCACCTAAAAAAGCCAAAAGCTAACCAAAAAGCCATTAAAAAGCCAATTACCAAACATGGCCTATATGTTTTATATACTCAACTGCTATTTGTCGCTCCCATTTTACCAGGTAACGCTCCCTTTTTGACTTGAATGGACCACTATGCCCTTTATGCAATTTGTGTTATAAAAAGGACCTTGTTCCCCATTTGGACATAATACATGAAACGGTCCCCTCACTTCACTACATTGCTGTCCCGAGCCTCCCAAAATCGGTCCCCACGACCTTGCAACCAAATCGGTCCCCTCGACCACCTAAATTTTATATTTTAAAAAATCGTGAAATTTTCCGACGGGTCTTGGGTCATGGACGGCGAGTGGAACATACGTACGCCGGAAAATGCGTCGGATCATTCTGTAAGTTTTTTTTTTTCGGCAATTAGGATATCGGCCTAAAATTTCCGGATGTCCTTGGTACATCCGCCTAAAATTTCCGGATGTACCATGGAACATCCGAAAATTTCAAGCGGAAGTTGGGATCCACCTGAAAATTCCGGATGTTCTATGGTACATCCGGAAATTTTAGGCGGATGTACCAAGGGACATCCGGAAATTTTAGGCGGATGTTCCTGTTCATATTTAATTTTTTTTTAAATGTTAATTACGTTTATTTAATTTTTTTTTTTATGTTAATTAAGTTTTTTTTTTTATGTTTTTTTTTCGTGGTCTTGTGATTATTGTTGTGATTTAGTATTTGATAATCAATGTAATTTTTTTGTTGTTATTATTATTATTATTATTATTATTATTATTATTATTATTATTATTATTTATTGATTAATGTTGTGGTCTTATAAATTGTTTTGTAGTTGTTGGTTTAATTTTTTATTATCATTAATATTGTTATTGTTTTGTATTTGTTGTTATTATTATTAGTATTGTTATTATTATTATTAGTATTGTTTTTATTATTATTATTATTGTTTTTATTATTATTATTTTGACATAAACCGTGTTTTGTTTAATTTGTATAGGATATGGAATCTGAGGAAGACGATGACTGTGTGAATTATAGTGGGAATTTTGTCACCGATACGTTTTTTCCTACATTTGACGATGTAGTTACATGGGCTGATGGTGTTTCCATAAAATTGAGATTTATATTGGTGAAATCGTCTTATAACAAAACCAGAGATGGTCGGTCGTATCGGTATTTGCAATGTGATCGGTCACGAAGGAGCAACCCGAGAGATTTGGAGAACGCGATACGGAAGGACGCCAAAACCAAAGCTAATGGTTGTCCATTCTACATCAAGATATATTATGATGTCAGCACCGAAAGTTGGAAGATCATTGCGAAAAATGATCACACCGGGACACATAACCACCTAATGATTGTGTACCCAGAGGGTCACCGTAAAGTGAGCGGATTGAGTCCGGGTGCAAAACAGGTTGTGCGGGACATGACAAAGTCCAAGGTTGCTCCCCGTAACATCATGTCCACTATTGCCGAGCAATTTCCTGATGATCATCCAAACATCCGACACATTTACAATTGCCGAAATGACTTCGGGATGGAGATGTCCGAAGGAAGAGGAGTTGTTCAGCAATTTCTTCATCTGGCGAGAGAGAGTAAATACATTTACTGGGTCACGAACGATGATCACAACGTTTTTCAACATGCATTTATGGTGCACCCGATCATGGTCAACATACTCCGCACATACCCACATGTCATAGGTATGGATTCTACTTACAAGACCAATCGATATAACATGCCTTTCTTTGAGATAGTAGGCGTGACACCGACAAACCAGAATTTTCTAGTTGGATATGTTTTCATGCGCGACGAGTGCACAGCTAGCTATCGGTGGGTGTTGCAGAGATTAAGGGAGTTGATTGGGTTTGATAAAGAGCCATCTGTATTTATTTCAAACCGTGATCTTGGGCTATGTGCGGCTTTGAGAGAAGTCTTTCCAGGGACGTCACATTTACTCTGTCTATGGCACATCAACAGAGATGTGGAGGCTAAGGTGACGAAGATGTTTGGAAACAAGACGGTTGGTGTCAGTTTTAGAGCTGGGAGATGGTTCAAAATCGTGAATGCAACAACACAGGGGGGAGTATGATCGTGCTCTAGCTGCCATGCAATTGAGGTGGGGAAAATATCCGGAAGTGATTCAGTATGTTCAGAGAACATGGCTTTGTCATAAGGAGAAATTTGTGAAATTTTGGACGAACCAAGTTCTTCACTTTGGTAACACCACCAACTGCAGAGTTGAGAGCAAACATTCAGCAGTGAAAACTTGGTTTGAATCATCCACAGGTTAGTTGTATTATTTTATTAGTTGTTCTCGTTGTTACGTAATTGTAATTGTATTAATTGTAATTGTATTAGAATTTACTAATTAGAATCATTGGCAGGTGCTTTGGATACCGTATGGGCCCGAGTCCATAGTCATATCGGTAATCGCATCATACAAATTCGTAATGACTTGGAGGCATCAAGGTCTAAAATTGGTCAGATGTACAGACAGTTGCCACTCTCACGTATAAATGGCAAAGTGTCTCAACATTGCTTGAAAGTTCTGGATAAGGAGACGAAAAGGATGCGGGATTTGAGTTACCAACTTGCTACTACCCATGCATCACAGTGTTACCGCTGAGGGCACGCAACGGGGTTCGGTCACCGACTCGAGAGTTTGTGATTGCTACAGTTGGTGGATCACATTTCATCCGTCTTGACCTTGTACCTGATTCACCACTCCCGCCGATCGCCGGTTGGTGGACGGAACACCTCGAGGATAGTGTCAATGGATGGGATCAAGCATATCAATTGAGAAGGGACATGTGGGATGCATTAGTTAGGTAGTTTGTAATGTACATTCACTAACTTTGAACATTTGTAAGAAAATTAGAATTATGAAATTAATTTTAAATGTATTTGCTATTAATCTAACATGATATGCAACAAAACATCAGATATAAAAAAAAAATAAGTGTCCAGTTTATACATTACATTTAAAAACAAAAAATAAAAATAAGTTCATAACATAATTAAAACCACTAACAGAACATCTAATCAAAATAATCTAAAGTCCCATTTTTGACTTCCAATCAAATACAAGCTGCTCAGTCATTGTTCGAGTCTCACTCGACATTTCAGGATACTCAGCAAGTGCTCTTTGGTGAATCTCCATGGACCGACCCATCCACTGCAAATCAAACAGTAACATATTATAAACACAAAAATTCATATAAGTCATTGTTAATATAATAATAAGCATAAATACTTACGTAATCAGTGTTAGTCCGCTCAGGCAGGTTGCTTGTAACTCCTGCACCTGGAGATACTTGCGGGTGAGAAAACCTGTACAGCCACTGCATGTAACCAGGCGCAACCGAAGGAGCTGCAGCACTAAGCCTGGTGAAGGCACCTAAAACTACACTCTGAGATACCCCAGGGATAAACCGCTTCCACATCACATCTGTCATCTCAGTCAGGAAGTCTACCCGATACATCTTCAAGTTAGTCGGCCTCTTGGCCTTCTTTGGCCTGATGATCTCGCGGGGAATGCCTTGCACGAAACCAAGCTGGCGCACCACTCTATCAGGCATGTACGACTCAATGATGTTACGGTACTGGATGCAGCCAATGAATAAAGTGGGGGGCACTCGTAATGCAGGATCAGCTCCGTACGTTAGCCAGTTCACCTCACGGTCAGTAAGCGCATCAATTCTAGTACGAAAAGCTAACAGGCGCTCCAGGTTCTTGCTAGGACATCCAGCTCCAACATCCCAAGCAGACGCACGAGGCATTTGAAGGTCCCGGGTCAAGGTACCCTGCTGTGGCCGAAAGCACGGAAAGTACTTGTAAATCCATGCTTGGAGAAGCGTGAGACAACCAGCAATCGAATCAGCACCTTTCCGTGATGCCGTGCCCAGTTGTCGATACAAGTAGGCCAGTGCAGCTGTTCCCCAAGCATACTCGTTAATAGGGACATCCACGTAACATAGCTCGTGGAGGAAGGAAGGATGCGTACGGTTACCACTCTTGTCTACAAACAGTGTACCTCCAAGCACTAACCACAAGTATCCATCAAGCTGATCACTAAACTCCTGGTCAACCGCCAATGTCGACTCAAAAATCTTATCAGTCAACACCCCACTACCCTGCCAAATGGTCTTTCTGCCGCAAATATCAGACAGATCATCTGGAGTCATATCCATGGTGATCGAGCACGCGTCCCGTAACACGTCCGTGCTAGGAGTAGTGGTCACCATATTGCCTGCGACCCGTAACCCAAGTATGTTGTACACGTCGTGCATCAAGATCGTAATCTCCCCAAATGGCATGTGAAAGGTGTTCGTATCTGGCTGCCACCTCTCAAAAAAAGCAGAAATCAACGGCCAATCAAGTCTCTTAAACATCAGGCCGGACAAGTGAGACAACCAACTAGCATCAATCGCCACGAGGTCCTCCACAGATTGACGACCTCGCCAAGTGAACAAGTCAGAACATAACTTTGTCCTACTCAAACAGCGCAAAACACTACGCTCCTGCTCCATCTAGATATACCGTGCCACGTGACCGCCAAAACTAGGGATAACTGACCCATCCTCAGGCCCACCCGGCACCGGTTCCTGCACTAACCATGCCTCTGCAGAGCTGGAAGTAGGCTGACTCGATCCACTACTAACAAATCTCCCAAACTGACCCCTATATACCATATGGAAATCCTGAGGGTCCTGTTCTTCATCTCGGTCATCAGCATGACTAGCCGAACATTCGTCTTCCTCGTCAGATATGGGTGCTCCAATTGCAGAGTACAAGGGTCGACTACTACCAGACTGTTGGTCTCCCGACCAACCACTAGTAGACCCGTATTGCTTATGCTCGGGCTGAAGCGGTGCATATCGAGATGTCTGTCTCCTAACAAACGCATTCAGACGTCGTGATATTGCATGTCGAGCACCAGAACCCTTGATCTACATAAAATAAGAAAATAATCCGATTAATAATAATAATAATAATAATAATAATAATAATAATAATAATAATAATAATAATAATAATAATAATAATAATAATAATAACAACAACAAATAAACTTAACAACAACAACAATAACCATAATAAAAATAACAACAACAACAACAACAAATACAAATTAACAACAACAATAATCATAATAATAATAACAACAACAACAACAACAACAACAACAACAACAAATACAAATTAACAACAACAACAATAACCATAATCACAATAATAATAACACAAAACCATATTATTAATAATTAAAATCAACAAAACCATATTATTAACGGGCAAAAAAAAAACAAAAAAAAAAAAAATTGGAACTTCCGCCCAAAAATTCCGGAAGTTCCATGGAGGATCCGCCTGGAATTTCCGGATCCTCCATGGAACATCCGGAATTTCTGGGCGGATGTCACTTCCGCCTAAAAATTCCGGATGTTCCATGGAGGATCCGGAAATTCCAGGCGGATCCTCCATGGAACTTCCGGAATTTTTTGGGCGGAAGTTCCTAGATCTGTAATTAAAAAAAAAAAAATTACCTCGTCGCCACCGTCGCCGCCGCCTCCGTCGCTGCCACCAGCGCCGCCGAAGCTCCTCCCTCCGAAATTCAGCCTAACCCGCCTCGAATCACCCATTTTTTTTGTGTTTTTGATGATTGTTGTTTTTTTAAAAAATGAAGAAAAATTTTTGAATTTTTTTTTAAAAAATTTTTAGAGTGTTTTAGAGAGTAAGAGAGTTAGAGAGAGAAGTAAGAAAGTGAGAAATGTTGGTCGGGAAGGAAAAAACCGTATTTATATATTAGGGGTAAAATTGGAATTTCAAAACAAAAAGGGAGTGTTACCCGGTAAAATGGGAGCGACGAATAACAACACCCTTTATATATCCTTTTTATGAAGACGATTTGACAAATTACCCTCTAGGTTATTTGTTTTATAGTTTTAATCTTCTATATCCCTATCTTATAAAAAGTAGAAAATAACTCTTAGGAATAGTGTGCTACCAACTATACCCTAAAAAATATGTACAAAAATGTATATTTACTTTTTTTTACCCTCATTAATATGTTTACTTTCATTAATATATTTAATTGGGTTTTTTTCATTAAACATACCATCAATTAATACAATTTTTTTTAACAAAAACTTGTAATGCCTTTTTTTTAAATAAAAAAATTATAATGTTTTGTACTTCATATGTATTATTGTTATTTAAAAAGGAAAAAAAATTGTATGTTCGAAGACTTTGTTAATTACCACGAGATGATTTATTTTTACTCCTTCGTGGTTGCTTTTCTTATTTACAATTTTGTTGTCCTTTAATTATTACAAATATTGTTAAGTTTTATTAGCTTTTTAATTGTACAATATTTGATGGCACACACATAAACAACGTGGAATTTAAATGACATTCATATTAAATAATGATATTTGAGCAGATGTTATCAAGAGGTAAAAATAACTTTAAAATCCTAAAATCGATGATAGAAAAAAATGTATTTAAATATGGAGAGAATTTAAGAAGAAAAATATAACTAAGTAGTTATTGTTTTAGTATTAGATACGTACAGATATAGATATTAGATGGTCGTAGAACATTGAACTTACATTATTAAGTTTGTAGCTACAATGAACATTTCACATATTATTACTCCGTATGACAAAAAAATTATTTGAAGAAAGAAACGTTAAGTATTATTGAATCATGCAAATCAATTAAGAGTTCTAAACTAGCTTAAGATATGAAGGGATGCAAATCAATTAATTGTTATTTAATAATAATTTCGAAATAACACTATCAAACTTTTGAGGGTTTTAAAAAATAATTATCATTACAGATTTTGGTGGCTTTTATTATATTTCTACAAAACCACTATATAGGCACATAAACCAAATAGTACGTATTAAAACTACCAGATCTACCACCCAAACCAAAGGTGTAACTACGCGCTAATACAACTTCTATGCAACAACTAACTCTTTCGCGCGCGTAGAATACCCTAGTAGAGTTAAATGAGAATAATTAAAAGCAAAAGGATTTTATATACATATTTTTCATACTAAACTAGTGTGTCACCTGGGCGATGCCCCGGGTAACTGCTTCGATTTTGTTTTTTTAGTGAGCAAATGGTTTGCCCAATTCAGAAGTAAATCAAAGTAGAACTTGCAATTCATCAAGACAATCATGGCACTATTGCCATACTTTACATTAATCCAGAATAGTCAATACGACTATACATTAACCACCACAGTAGGGAAAATAAATCTCACATCAAAATCACAATTTTAAGAAAGAATAAAAACCTCAAGACACATAGATCAATACTCGATCAACATTGTAATACATGCATCAAAGGTTAATCATAGGAGACCTATTCACACCACAGGAAGAAGTTCAGCTTTGGAATAGAAGATAAAATAAATTATTCATCTATGAAGTAATATAATGGAAAATTTGTCAGAAAAAACCTTTTAAATGCCTCATTTTGCAAGAAAAAACCTTTTAAAGCATTCTTTGTTAAAAAAAACCACCACGATCACTTTTTTTGTTGAATGAAACCTGAGCCCTCTTTTTCGGCATTGACTAACACTTTCAGGCGTTGACTCACTTCTTTTCCTACTTGCAGCCCACATTTACGTTTTTTCCCTCATTCTTTCACCAACAAAAACAAATTTTCAGAAATTCAACAATAGGGCAACAATTTCACAATTCCAAACAAAATTTTCAGCAATACAAACCAATTTTCATGTATTATTTAACCCATCACAACTCAAAATCATCAAACAACCAACAACAATTAGGTTAATTATGTTTGTTTTATGTCGATTTTTGGTGATAAAACCTAACAATTTATACGCAAATTCAGCAAATGAAGAACATAACTGGGTTTGTACAACACTACGAAATTGGGGAAACGTTGTTTTGCGTCCAAGCGCCGTCTTCCTTCGTCAAATGAGTTCGCTTACTTGTCTACAAACAACCCCAGTTTTTCTGGGCGAATTTCAAGTATAAAACTAATTACTTAATACTTACCTCAAGTTATTGTTGAAGTTTTTTATGGCAAGTTGAGAGAGAGATAGAAAAACCCAATTTGATGTGATAGTGTTGTAGAGCATTCATGGAGAAAAGGAGAGAGAGAATAGAGAGGAAATACATTGGAGGGAAAATAAAGGGAATAAGTAATAGGGGGAGTGCAATTATCAAAACAAGTGGCAGCAAGTAGTAAAAGAAATGAGTCAACGCCTGAAAGTGTTAGTCAATGCCTGAAAAGAGGGCCCAAGTTTCATTCAACAAAAAAAGTGATCGTGGTTGTTTTTTTTAATAAAGAATGCTTTAAAAAGGTTTTTCTTGCAAAAGAGGCATTTAAAAGGTTTTTTCTGACAAATTTTCCTATAATCTATTCTTCTATCTTAGTACTCCATTACTTAACAAATACATTGCTACAAAAATAGATACACCAAAAATTAAAATATTTGAAGATTGAAAACTGCTATTCAAAAATAAATTGACATACCAATAAGCTTTCATGACTTCCACAATGACTATAAGAACCCTAAGGCTCAATTTTGCACCAATACCGAAAAAAAGGAAAATTTATCAAAAATAATACAAATTTTAAGCGGTTCGCCAAAAACAAGTCAAACTTTTGATTATTTCTAAATAATACAAACTATGTAGGGTATCCGCTTAAAATAAGTCATGATCGGTTATGAACCTGATTAATAGGTTATATGGGACACATGTCATTATATTAATGGTTTAACAATTTAATTTAATTTTTTTATGTTTTTAATTTTAAAAGATTATTATTATATTTATTTATTTTTAAATAAACCAATCCCCACGCACCAGCCACCGCTGCCACCTCTATCTCGCCCTCCAGCGCCGGCCGCGCCTAATCCCGCCTCCGGGCGCCGACCCCCTATACTTTGCCTCTTCCCCCTCACCACTAGGGCTGGCAAAACCTGACCCGACCCTGTAGACACCCATTTGTGTCTCCCCAAACCCAAAACCAGTAATGAGTTCCTTTCACGTCGAATCATAATCGAATGAAACGAAAGTGTGGAAAGGTCTAGTGTTGCGGAAAGTTTTAATTCTTTTCTCTTTTCTCTGTTTTTGAAAAGTTTATTTTAAGAAAACAGCCAATCCAGTTTGGTTGGTCCATGATATGGGTCCAATAGTGGTGTAGTTGGATGGGGCTTGCAAAGACCTTTCCAACGATATATTATAAGCCCAATTCCGATGAATATTGAGGAAGTTATGGCCAATTTACTAAACTGGGCCCGGTTTGAGCTGTAAGTACGGCCTAATGATCTAGGGGAGGGCCTAATATAATTTAACATTCCTAATGCAATTAGGAATGGTTTTAGTCTTCTAGAACATTCTAGAAGGTTCTTTTTCATTCCTAATTCAATTAGGACTCTTTAGAGTTTTAATTAAGATCAAATAGCATTTTCGATGGAATTATATTATTTTATCTTCCAGTACTGGAAATTTATCAGATTTTCGAAAACGCGTGGAAAACCACTTTGGCGTCCATCCCCAGGCCTTGGCGCCTGGAACCAGGCTTGGCGCCAGACGCTAGCCATTGGCGCCTGGCGCTAGCCACTGGTGCCTGGCGCCAGTTAGCCAGGGTTGGCGCCAATGTGTTTCTGCGATCTTCAGACTCTGTTTTGTTAAATTATCTTTTTTGGATGATTTTCTCTATAAATATCGTATCAAAAACTTCGTTTTCATAATCAATTACCATTCATTAATTCTCTTCATTCATCATCTACATCTATCATTCACCAACTCTCATCAAGATTTTCTTGATTATTCTCTAGTATTCTTTTCTAAACTTTGCTTTTTAATACAAAATTCCGCATTCGCAAGATCTAGAAACACCTATCCATATTCGAAGTTGCCTTCGCCCTAGACGTGAAAGGTTTTAATTTCTGAGGGTTTGGTCCCAAATCTCTATTTCAATTATTTAATTTAATTGTTTTGATTATTATTTTTCCTTGAAGTTACTAACGTGTGTATTTTGTAATTAGAAAGAGGTACAAGGCATCCAAGTAAGTACTTTAATGGTTTAATTGATATTATGATATAGAAATCATGCTTAGATTGTTATTTTGATTCCTAGTATCATGTTTAGGGTAACTTTAATATTAAGTATGATTAAAAGTATGATGCCTTTTATTCTCTTCCTAATATTTATGATTGTTAGTATCATGTTAGGGCTAAAGGTTTGATTTTTATTGCTTAGTGACATGCTAGAGTTTGTTATTAATCTTGTTAGTGTATGCCTAGGATCTTGCTATGCTTTAACATGATTATTATGATTGATATTTTTATTATTAATGATGTTGATTATTTATTATGTTGCTTGATACATATTATTTTATATTGTTATTGCTTGATCACCTTTTATTGCATGTTTAAAGGGAATTTGTACTTGCAATCTCGCTTAATAAGATAATTAATAATCTTGTTAGGTTAATTGTGATTATAATTCAAGTGATCGCCAATAATAGTTTATTTGTGCATTATATTCAACCAACATAGATTAAACAGGTTTAGGGTTAATCTATTGATTGTATGTTAGTCAGAAAGCGCACATGAATACGATCAGAATAAAGTAGAGGCCTATTATTAGGGCGGATTCAATCTCTTTTAGGTTGGATTTGTACCATCATCCCCGAACCCTTATTTGGTTCATGACCTTATGGAGTTGACGATCTCTTGGATTGTTAAGGGGTGTAACCTTCACCTCGTGAACGGTTTACAAGTTCCTTAAAAACTTGTTGGCGACTCTTTTGCTCTATCTTCTTCCCTTTTGGACGCCACCGTACTTTAATGTATGATCACAGTGGGGTTCAAGCTAGTGGGATTTTTAAGACTTGAAATTATTCCTTACAGACCCGAAAACACGACATGAACCCAACCTGAAAATAGCGGGTTAGGGTTGAGGTTTTCGACCCGAAAACTTAAATGGGTTGACACGAACCCGACCTGAAATTTAAATGGGTTAGGTTAAGGTTGAAAATCCCAACCCGAAATTGACCCACATAACCCGAAATTTTTTTAAAAGCCTACATAAATCATAATCCCAACTCAAATTCGAAATGAGCCCACCTTATAACATCAAAAACCCTAAACTCCTCTATTCTTTCTCAATATCACTCAGCCGTTCTCAGTTCTCCTCCATTCTCTCTCTTAAATTTTCTCTCTCTTCATTCCCTAAAACCCTCTCCAACCTTTTTCAAACCCTTAATTTCTATTTAATCCTTGAATTCTTTTCATCAATCTACACTTCCTCGCGCTATCTCAACCTCTCCTTCATCAATCCAAGGTATTTTTTTTTTTATTTTATGTATTAGTTTTCTGAAAATTACAGTTTGTTCATGTTAGAATACAATTTTACAGCTAATTATGGTTGTTAATTTATGTTGAATTGTTATTCGGTTGTAGATTTGTTGTTGCTGATTTCTTTTGTTAAATTTTGTTTTACATGTTTGTGTTAAATAATTGTTTGTGTTATATAATGGTTGTTTAATTTTTAATGGCAGTAGTTGTGTTAATCCCTCGGCGTTTTTCCACCACCATCACATCACGCTTTCTTTGCTTCATCGGCCTCACCTCATCGTTGCCGCTTAATCGATCTAGCAACATCAAGCATCAACCTCTCCGCAAATCATTGAAATTGGAGACATGTTTATGTTTTTTTAATTTTAGATCTTATGTAATGTAATTTAATTTGGTATTTTATCATCCAAGACTCTTTATGATCTACACTTTTAATTTGTGATGGTATCAATTTGATTATTAATGATTTTCTTTATAAAATTAAGATTTAATATTTAAAATTGAAATGGGAAATATTAGATCTGAAATTTTAAGTAAATTCATAATCGGAAGTAAAATGATAAAAAAAAAAAATCAGGTCAGATTCGGGTTGACCCGAACCCGAAAAAACCAGGTTAGGGTTGAGCTTTTTGACCCGAAAAGTTAAATGGATCAGGTTCAGGTTAGGGGTATTCGACCCGAAATTGAACTGACCCGAACACGAACCCGACCCGACCTGATCCATTTGCCAGCCCTACTGACCACCACATCCTCGTAATCCCCTTCCTCCGCCCACAAAACCACCTAATACCCGTCGCCCACCTTCGAAATCCTTAACCGAAACCCTAGCAAGGTTCGATTAGAATTTTTTCGAAGATAGGGGATGGGTTTTAAGGGATTTCGTGGTGGAAGGAAAGGAGATTTGGGGGAGGGTCGTTAGTGGTTATGGGGAAGGGAAAGGGGGCTACGCGAGGATAGGGGGAGGGGGTCAATGTCGACGCCGAGGGAAGGGATCTGGGCGCACCGGCGTCGGGTCAATGTCGACGCCGAGGGAAGGGATCTGGGCGCACTGGCGTCGGGGAAGGAGGTGGTAGCGGTGGGTCGGTGGTTGAAGAGGACCAGAATGTGGGTGGGGATTGACTTGTTTTTTTTAAAAAATATATTTTAATTGTTTTTTTTAAAAAGAATAATATTTTACGCCCTCCGTTTTTAAATAATTGCTCCATTTCTCCATGCGAGGATTTTTAGGAGAAATTGGAGAAAGTAATAAAATATGGAGGTAGTGGGGTGGGTGGAAAAATAAAAAATTGTATAAAACAAAAGTATTGGAGAGAATTGGAGGAGAGAGAATATGAAAATAAAAGAATATGATTTATGTTGGGTTCACTGGGTGAGAAATTAATTAAATATTGTATAAGGTTTTCAAATAAGGAAATGGAGCAAGTATTTAAAAACGGTCGGAAAAGGAAAGTGGAGCAAGTATTTGAAAACGGAGGGAGTAATTGTTAACCATGATTAAAGTTTTTATTAAGGGCCCGCCTGGATTGGGTGAAATAGGGGGGGTAATAGTCGGTAATAGTTAATGAGGTAATAATTGTGGGCTTTTGCTTCTATCTGGATTGGGGTAAATAAGTTAGGCCCGTAAATTTCCCCCCCAAAAGGACAGAAATGCATTACCGTAGCCCCCCTTAGACCACTATCAGCAGTGAGGAAAAAAAAAACCTCTCAATCTCTCTCTACCCACTTTCTCACTCCTCCCATACAATTTCTCTCATCAAATGTTTTTTTCACTACATCAATGAGGAGAAAAAAAAACCTCTCATCACTTATTCCTCCACTATTTACTATACCCCACCATAATACACATCATCTTTTTATTTTATCTTTATTTTGAAATAATGTTTATACTACATATTTAATTTTCAAATACAATTAAAATATGTGAAAATAATTTATTTTTTAATTACATTTAAAAATAATTTAATAAAAATGTATAATTTAATAACAATTTATAAGTTTTATATTTACTTTTCAATTACGTTTAAAAATAATATAATAAAAATTTATAATTTTTATATTTATTTTTCAATTACGTTTCAATTATAACTTAATAAGATTGTTATTTATTTGTCAATTACGTTTTAATTATAATTAATAATTTTTTTTTATTTTTCAATTACGTTTTATTTATAATTTAACATTTGAATTAGTAGCACATTTTTGTAATGAACACATTAAATAGTCACATGGGAACTTCAATAACGGTAATACAAACACATGGGATGTTAAATAACGGTACAATTACGAACTAGATAAAAGTGGTTCTACTAAAATAAAATACAAACACGAGTATTAAAACATAAATAACGATACGGTTACAAATAACAAACTAAAAAATTATTTATTCAACCGCATTATGACGAAAGTTCTGCCATATGTGCTCCACTAAATCTTGTTTCAGAGATGAATGAATTTCTCTATCACGAAGGGAAATCCTTCTCTCCAAATACGTGTTGAAATCAATGTTGGGTGGTCGCCCGACGTTGAATTCAAATGGCTCGTTGTTAAACACCGTGGCACTTGTGCTCGGGTCTGCCCGCCTCACCGTACGTTGTGGTCGATCTTCTTCGTAGTATCGTCTCAAAACATCTGCACGTGCGTAGTTGTGTCGTTCATCCTCGACGATCATGTTGTGCATTATTATACAGGCTTTCATAATATCACAGAGAATATCTTCGTCGTATGCAAGTGCTGGTTGTCGTAGTATAGCGAACCTAGCTTGTAAAACTCCGAAAGCCCGTTCGACGTCTTTCCGAACTGCTGCTTGTTGATCAGCAAACAACTTGTCTTTTCTAACATGAGGATGTGTTATACCCTGTATAAAAGTTGGCCATCTCGGGTAAATCCCATCGGCCAAGTAGTAGCCCAACTCATATTGATGTCCATTAACCGTAAAATTTATGGGTGGTGCATGACCTTGTAAAACATCATCAAATACCGGTGAACGGTAAAGGACATTCAAATCGTTACATGACCCAGACATTCCAAAGAACGCATGCCAAATCCATAGATCCTGATCAGCAACAGCTTCAAGAATGAGAGTTGCACTCTTGCTACGACCAGCATATTGTGCCTTCCAAGCAGTAGGACAATTCTTCCACTCCCAATGCATGCAGTCTATACTACCAATCATCCTTGGAAAACCACGCAGATCATTTTGATGAAGGATTCTCCTTAAATCTTCATCTGTAGGTTTTCGTAGATATTCACTTTCAAATTGTGAAATAACCCCTTGACAGAAATGTTGCAATGCCTGCCTAGAGGTTGTTTGGCCGAGACGTAAATATTCATCCACAGCGTCTGCGGCTACGCCATACGCTAACATTCTTATTGCAGCGGTGCATTTCTGCAACGGTGATAAACCAAGCTTCCCAGCTGCATTTCGACGTTGCTGGAAGAATTGATCCCCCTCAACCACCAAATAAACACTAGTACATTAAATTAACTGAATAAAACATAAAGTTAACATTAACTAAATAAAACATAAGCCAACACATTGCATCTCCAAGTCACACGTGCCTTCTACCATATAGCATTGCACGTAATTCCTCCTTGTAGGCCTCTTCATCGGGAGTTAGATTAGTACCCTTTGAAAGTAGATCTTGCAGCATTTCATAGTTCAGCCTTCTCTCTTGTATGTCAACTTGTTTTTGTTGAATTTCGACTTGTTTTTGTTTCCTCCTCTCCCTTTCCATGTCAAAATCCAACTTCTTCAACCGTATTTGTGCCTCTGTTTCCCTACAGGCATTATTCTGCTTCATTTGCTCACCAATGGTTAAAGAATCAGAAGCCACTTCTTTTCCCTTATTACGCTTGGCCTTTGCCTTTTTAACACCATCGGGTCGAGGAAGACCTCCAGAACAGAAACCCGTGGATGGTGTATCACCTTCCTCTACGGTTCTACATCGCTTATCACTGCCACTACTATCATCTTCGACGGCATCACCTACAGCTAATCTTTCCTCTCTTGACAACGCCCACCTAAGTTTTGTCCTCCACTTTGGGTCATTTTTAACCATTTCCCAACCATGGTGACAATTAAAATTATGTTGAGTAGGCTTGGAGGAAGCATAGAATAACTTACTGGCGTTATTAATTCGATCTTCTTCGTTGTAGCCACTTCCTGTAACCCTTCCTGCTTCGTCATAGCAGCTACTCCATTGTATTAAATCAGCTGCCATCCTTCTCCAACGACTTTCCAAACTCCTCAAAGGTCTTGGTGGTAGAATGTGAGGTTTCTCAGCCTGCGCTTCATCATATGCCGCTGAAATTTTTCTCCAAAGCACAGATGCTTTTTGGTTTGTACCAACAATTGCATCTTCACTGAATTGCAGATACAAACCAATAAGAGTTTCATCCTCCGCAACAGACCACATTCGACTCCCTTTTGTAAGTGGTTGGTTTTGATTGACAGACACTCTTGGAGGAGGTGGAGGGTATTGTGGAGTATCTGGAACACTTTCTTCCATTTCATCTTCATATTGAGAATTGCTCCCTTGATAAACAGGAGGTGAATGTGGTGGTGGAAATTGAGGAGGTGTTTGTTGTGGTGGAAATTGAGGAGGTGTTTGTTGCGGTGGATATTGAGTAGCTATTCGTTGAAGGAAGGTTTGAAATCGAGGGTTAGTGACAAAATCATCACCCAAATCAGAAAAATAATTAGAAAAATCTGGTTTGTTAGGATCCATTAGCAAAATAATAATAATAATAATAATAATAATGATAATAATAATAATAATAATAATAATAATAATAACAATAATAATAATAATAATAATAATAATACTTTTTTTTGACAATATAATAATACGATTTTTTTCAAGGATTAATAAATTTAACAGAAATAATAATAAAGAAATTATTAATAATTATAAGAATACCAATAAAACTACTACTTTTTTTAAATTAACACTACTACTACTACTACTAGTAATAATAATAATAATTATAATAATAATAAAAATAATAATAATAATAATAATAATAATAATACTAAATAATAACTGAGGGTTTTTTTTTTTACGAATAATAATAATAATAAAAATGATGAAAATAACTCAAAGAAATTGGGAAAAGAAGGAAATTTGTAGTATTTATAGGTTTTTTGAAAGTATATCAAAATATATCAAAATGCATGTCTATTTATAGAGAAAAAAAAAATCTATCCGTTGGTGAATTTTGTTTTTGTTTTTTTATAATTACAATGGTTATATTTACCTTACAAAAATATAACCGTTGTAATAAAAGCAAAAAAATCTGATTGGTTGGAAGGACAAAGCCTGACGCGTGTCGCATCCCCATTGGCTGGGTCTGACGCACGTCAGGCCAGCTGCCCCCTCTTTTTTTTTTCCCTTTTTGCCCCTCAAAACGGCGTCGTTTCGCCCTTCTTTAAGGCAAAACGACGTCGTTTTGCAAGCCAGAAAGGAAAAAAAAGGAAAGATGCGTGTACGAGTGGGGCCCACTGGTTACTGTTCACGAGTATTTCCCCTCAACTCTTGTGCGTTTTCCATAGCTCTCAACGGTGAGGGTTTTTTCCCTCACTAACGTAATGCTCGGGTATTTTTTTTACACCCTTATTTTTACTCGTGAGGGCTTTTCTCCTCACTGCTGGGAGTGCTCTATTCACCTGACAATTATTCACCCAATACAACTCATCATCATCCTCTTCTATAACTCAACCACCATTCTTCTCTGTTTTTCCATGGCTAGATATATCTTCCAGATTTCCAGGTATACATGTCATCAAATTATTTTTTCAATTTTACTTTGACATTCTATTTTATAGCAATTTGACTTTTTTTTCACTTTTCAATTTTATTGTTTGATTTCGAGATAAAAAGAAAACAAAACTAAAATTTAAACCTGAAAATTGATTTAGATCCGTGGGATTTTTCTTTTGAAAGCAAGCTAATTGTACTATTTGTAATGAAATTGGATTGATTCGCATATTGTGCATTTGTGCATGTGGAATTTTTGGTTTTTTAAAAATTAAATAAATAAATGAAAAAGATAATGTTGAATTTTTTTAATTAATTTGACAGTCATCTAAATCGATGAATGTTCTTGTTTCTAAAAAAAACAAAAATTGCTGAATATCCCAAATTATTCTGCAAATGTAAAACCAATAAAATAAATAAATAAATTAGCTGAACAAAGTGAATTGCCCAATAGGCTGTAAGTCTGTAACCATTACCTTCATACCAAACCAGTAAAAATATTACCCTTGAAAAAAGTGTCCCCCTAAATTAGTCCCTTGTAATTATTCTTCTCATAAATCTACCCCCTTAATTAATAACCTTAATCCAGGCAACCCCTAAGAGTCAATTAAACTATTAAACGAATTTATAAAATTAAAAAAAAAATTAACAAATTTTAAAGGTAGTTGGTAAAATATCTTGTTTAAAGCGGATATCCTACAAAGTTTGTATTATTCAGAAATAATAAAAAATTTGACTTATTTTTAGCGGACCGCTCAAAGTTTGTATTATGTTTGACAATTTTTCCCAAAATAAATCAGAATCTATAGATAAGCCAATTAGATATTGAAGATTAAAAAAAAAAAGAGGAAATTTTGACTTTTGCTACCACCAAAACTCATAATTTTCATTTTTGCTACCCATCAAAACATTTACTACGTATTTATTTTGCTACCACCAAAATACATAAAATATTGATTTTTCTACCACTTAAAAGATGTGGTTACTATTTTCATTAATGGAGCCCAGCCACCGTCCAACCATCGTATAGCCACCACTTTAATTATTATATAATGATAATTAAAAAAAAAAGAAAAAAAAACAGCCACCGTCCAACCACTGTATAGCCACCACTTTAATTATTATATAATGATAATTAAAAGAAAAAAAGAAAAAAAAAAAAACCAGCCACCTTAGCCCACTCCCCAGCCACCCCTCCCCACTGCCCAACCCCCCCCCCCCCTTGTCGGTGACCGTCGGCAGTGCCCATACCTTCTCCCGGTCGGCGACCCCACCTCCTTCCTCTTCCCCACACACGACACACCCACCCACCTCCTTTGAAACCCAAACCCGTTTCCCTTACCCAAACACAACACCACTCCTCCACCACATCCACCCCCCCATCGAAAATGGCCCCCCTCCCCTTCCTCCTCCATGAATCGGCCCCCCTCCCCTTCCCCTACACAAAAAAGACACCCTAAACCTTAAATCACAACTCAGACCGTTACAAGGGTCACAAAGAAAATTGCAAATGAAACTAATAGGAAAATCTTCGAGGCGTGAACGGGATCACTTTTCTAAAAGTATAATTCCGATCCTATATTACAACTGGGTATCACGGAATTTTACTCAGGAGATACAACAAAGAACAATTGCAATCACAAGTAGGATGATTACAATACAATGTAAATAAGCTTTTGTGATTTGTGATGATAAACAATAACTTGCAAAAGGTTTCAAGAGAATGAGAAATAAAACTGATGTCTTGAAGTTATTTTCATCAATATGAACTCTCATATTTATATCAAGAGCAATAAACCAAGCATAACTGAAGAATAACCGTCAACATTGCCTCCTGCGCCCTACCGGGCGAGAGAAATCAAGCAACCCAAAAAAATTTAGGTGCTCTCGCGCCCTACCGTGCGTAGACCCGCCCGACCGGGCGTTGGCTCTCGCCCTGCCAGGCGACGATGGCCCTACCGGGCGGTGACAACGCTTAATTTTCCTTTGCTCTCGCCCCCTACCGGGCGGTGGCTCGACCTGTCGGGCGCGCCACTAGGCGGAGGAATATTTCTCTAAACCAAGATACAAATTGCTCTTTTACTTGTTCAATTGAATTTCAACACCTTAACCTATGAAATTCAATCAAACACATGAATATTTGTCACCAATACTCTAAATAATTCAACAAGGGCTGCAGTAGTGCAGTATGATGGCTTATGATTTTTCTGGTACATTGATATGTTTAAATTATTTTATTTAGGCATATGATGTGTAATATAAACATTCAATTTTTAATATCAGCTTCAGTAGTTCAGATTTAGACCTGGCAATCCTGACCTGACCCGACCTGATTGACTCGACCCGAATGACCTAACCCACAACCCGAAAGTTGACCCGAAAATGACCCGAACTCGAACTAACTCGACCCGAATCGAACCCGACCCAAAATAGAGTTGACCTGAACATGACCCGAAGTGACCCAAGTCGAATGACCTGACCCGAAACCTAAACTTGACCCGGCCCGAAGTGACCCAAAACCCGAAGTGACCTGACCCGATTTTAACCCAAATTGATTGACCCGAATCGAACCGACCCCTAGTGACCCGACCCGAATTGACCCGAATCCTAAGTGAATAGGGTGAGGCTTCTTTATTTCCTACGTAATAGGTATTCGTGATTTTTTTTAACGATTTTACTTTATTTTTCCAACTATTTTTTTAAAGTGAATTTATTTTGGTGACTCGACACAAATTTGATCCAAATAGACCCAACCCGAATTGACTCGATCCAATTTGAGCCGACCCGAAATTGACCCGAAAATTGATCTTAAAAATTGACCTGACCCGAACAGACTCGACCCGGATTGACACAACCTGAACTTGACCTGACCCGAACTTGACTTGACCCGAACTTGACCCGACCCAAACTTCACTCGAAGTATTGACCTGAAACCCGACTCGACCCAAACCCGACCCGAACATTTGCTGACCTGAACTTGACTTGACCTGAATTGACCCGACCTGAATAACCTTTTTGCCAAGTCTAGTACTTCAGATTGTTTAAAACTTACTAGAAGAATATGTAGTGTTGTAATAACTTGAGTCAATGTGTACCTTTGCTTTTGTTATAACATGTAAGTTCATCAATAATGGCATTATATGATTTGATTGGCAGTTTATGCTATGCAAAGTACCAAATTCAGTTTCTTATCATATAACTAATATATAAAGCTAAACTTTTAGCCAGGTCACGAGGCAACGACACTTGGCGTTTTAACTTTTTGCCAAGTGTCGCGTCACATTAGATAAATTTAAATAGACTTCATAAGATAAAAAAAAAATAGTTTAAAATTCTATTTGGATAGAATTTTAGGATAAAACTGTTAGTTATTTTAAAATTTGATATATAAATTAAAATATTATCTTAAAATTTAATAAACAACCCGGGCATCGCACGGGCACAAAACTAGTACTTCCTCCGTTTTTTTATTATTGCACCATAGGGGTTGGGTGCAAATATTTTGATAGTAGATAAAGTAAGAGAGAGAAAGGTAAAAATATAAAATTGTCCATGTGACATATTGATAAACTAAAAAGTAAGTGTGAAAAAGCAAGGATATGTTGGGTATTTGTAGTGTGAACACAAATAATTTTTTTCCTAAAGAGGAAATGGTGCAATATTTGTGAAACTTCCTAAAAAGGCAAGTGGTGCAATAATAAAAGAACGGAGGAAGTATAATATATATTCACTTTCCTAGATACTTTCAAGTCATTTATTCATTTATCTTTTTTTTTTTAATTGAGAATAATTAAAAGAACGATTTCCTTAGAAATTGTTAAAATATAATTTAATTTCCTATTTCCGTTGGTTTAAAAACTTATCACCTCACGTCATGTAGTTTGTGATGAAACTATATTTCCATATTCTTCTTCTTACACTCCAAAACTTGAGGATTAAGATTTTCTTTCTTCTGATGTCTTCTTCTTCCTTTTCACGCCCAACACACTCAAACTCTTGGGCAGCCTACTGGCCCATTCACAAATGAGTCCAACTCTCCTACTTCTTCATCCCCTCACACGGCCCAAGCTACTCCATTGCATGGGCAGAATAGTCCTCAAGTGGACCGCGGGCCTGTTCAATCAGCCACCACCCATTTGGAGACTACCCATGTCAATGATTTCTCTCCCACTTCATCCCCACTTGGGCCGCCTACTTCACCTACTGGGCCGCTTTCTCCTTCTCCCCAAACAACTCAAGCTCAAGCCACTAATAATCACCAAACCCACTCTATGACTACTCGTGCCCAGCACGGAATTTTCAAACCAAATAGGAAATATGATGATTATGCTCTCACTTCTACCACTACTCCCCCTATATCTCCTCTTCCTCGATCCCACCTCTCTGCCCTCAAAGATCCTAACTGGTATAAGGCAATGTGCGAGGAATATAATGCCATGGTTCAAACACATACATGGGACTTAGTGCCTCGTCCCCCCAATGCAAATGTCATCCGTGGTATGTGGATATTCAGGCACAAGGAAAAATCGGATGGTTCTTTTGAGCGGTATAAGGCTCATTTTGTGGCTAATGGCAAGAGTCAAGAGGTTGGGGTTGATTGTGATGAGACTTTTAGTCCGGTTGTCAAACCTACTACCATCCGTACTGTTTTGAGCTTGGCTGTGTCTAAGAAGTGGTGTATTCATCAACTTGATGTCAAAAATGCATTTCTTCATGGGAATTTGCAGGAAACGGTGTACATGCACCAACCACCAGGGTTTGTTGATGCTAAGAAACCCAAACATGTTTGTCTTCTCCGCAGATCGATATATGGTTTGAAACAGGCTCCTCGTGCTTGGTACCAACGGTTTGCTTCTCATATTTGCTCTCTTGGTTTCGTGAATAGCAAGAGTGACACTTCTCTTTTCATCTACCGACGAGGCGCCGATACAGCTTATCTCTTGTTGTATGTTGATGATATCATTCTCACCTGCTCATCTGACACTCTTCGCAAGAAGATTATTTCTCTCTTAAGTGTTGAGTTTGCTATGAAGGACCTAGGTCCTCTCTCTTATTTTCTGGGTATTTTTGTCACTAGATCTGCGCACGGTATGTTTCTTTGTCAACAAAAGTATGCACAGGATATTATTGCCAGAGCTAATATGTCTAAACCGGCCTCTACTCCTGTGGACACGAAGTCCAAGCTTAGTGCTACTAGCTGGGACAGGTTTGCTGATGCTACTTTGTATCGTAAACTTGCAGGAGCTCTTTAGTATCTCACATTTACTAGACCAGATTTATCTTATGCAGTTCAGCAGATTTGTTTATTTATGCACGACCCCCGTGATCCACACTTCCATGCTCTGAAACGAATACTGCGTTATATCAAGGGCACACTTGATTATGGGATGCATATATCTTCTACTCCTGCTACTGGTCTAGTCTCTTATACAGATGCCGACTGGGGAGGTTGCCCCGACACTCGTCGTTCCACGTCAGGGTATTGTGTATTTTTTGGTGATAACCTCATATCTTGGTCTTCTAAACGACAACCGACGTTGTCAAAGTCTAGTGCAGAGGCCGAATATCGCGGGGTGGCTAATGTGGTGGCTGAAACCGCTTGGATTCGTAATCTCCTTCTTGAGCTTCATTGTCCCCTACGTCGTGCGACAGTGGTATATTGTGACAACATTAGTGCTGTGTACATGTCCCATAATCCAGTGCAGTATCAACGTACCAAATATGTGGAAATGGATATTCACTTTGTTAGAGAAAAGGTAGTGTTGGGTCACATTCGAGTGCTTCATGTTCCTTCCTCTTTTCAGTACGCGGACATTTTCACCAAGGGTCTCCCTATTCCCTTATTTCAAGATTTTCGCTCCAGTCTATGCGTACGTCCTCCTCCCGCTTCGACTGCGGGGGTGTTAGACTAGATAAATATGTAAATATTTATTGTCCATAATTAGCTATGTAATTAGCAGTGTATCTTGTGTAACCCTAATACCCAATGGGTATATATATTGGTGATAATATGCCTACAAGGAGAATTCTCCCATCTTATAGAAAAGGTTCGAGGAAATGTTCGGGTTTTTTTTTTTTTAATTCTTGTTCAGCTAAGAACCGCTAACGGTGATAGCGGTTCTATACATTAAAACCGCAAATACCGTTAACGGTTCTTTACTGAAAACTTTCTTCATCTTCTTTCGATTTTATTCACTTCAAAATCCAACACCAATCTGCTGGTTTCAAAAATTCAATCTATTTATCAATTTGTCGAATTGAGTTTTTACAATATTTTATTATCTACTCAATCTACTTTATCAATTAGTGTCGACTCAACCTTCCAACCCACCTCTGTTATGAAGAACAATTACCAATCTTCTCCAAGAAATCTGAAATAGAATAATAATCACAAAAATACCCATAACGATTCAAGGTTTTTAGCAATTTGAAAGGTAATGAGACTAATTTCACCCACGTTGATGCTGCGAATCCTGCTTTACAAGGTATGGGTACTCTGTATTTAAGAGGAAGTAAAATTATGACTGATTTAGGATTGTCATTTTTTATCTTAATCTTGGCCATCTGTTGCTTATGCGAGCTTATAGAGATAACTAAAAGAACCGCTAACGGTGTTTGCGGTTTTAATGTATGTAACCGCTATTACCGTTAGCGGTTCTTAGCGGAACAAAAATTTAAAAAAAAAATAAAGAACCTTCCCCAATCCTACATGGACAACATAATGGGAATAAGTTTTTAAACCGACGCAAATAGGGAATTAAATTTTATTTTAACAATTTTTAGGGAAATCTCCCATAATTAAAATCAAAAGGGTTTTATATACGGTACATATTTTTCATACTAAATGTGCATATTTTGGTAAGTAAATGTAGAATTCTTTCTAACCTCATAAATATACTAGCGCTATATGCACTCGATGTGTGCGCTTGTATATTAAAGATATTTTTCACACAATCATTGTCACACCTCGGCGTCTTTTTTAGTGTCTTTCAAATGTGTCTTTGAAATTTACAATAAACCTTATCAATTATATTATTTGTAATGTTTTCATTGTTTTTTTTCCCTTTTTGGGATGTCGCATTGAGCCCTTTTTCTAAATAATGTTGGAAAATTATCTAATTCCCAAATTACCACTAATCTTTTTTTAATTCCCACCGTACCGTCCACGTCACCAGTTCAGTGGGATTTTTTTTTTTAAACGAGTTCATTTGAAAACCGCTACTTCAAGTAGCGGTGTGCTACTAAAAACCGCTACTTCAAATAGCGGTTTACTTATTAGAAACCGCTACGTGGCGGTTTGTATTTACTAATTATTTTTTTAACAAAATCACTTTCCCCATTCCCTTGTAAAATAATTCAACAAAATTATAACCGCTACTTCAAGTAGCAGTGTTTTGAGGAAAACCGCAGTAGCGATGTATGAAATTAAAACCGCTACTTGAAGTAGCGGCTTGTTGCTGGACCGAGGAAAAAAAAAACGGTTTGTTTTCCTTAGCTGATGTGGACGGTACGGTGGGAATTAAAAAAAGATCGGCTGTATTTAAGGAATTGCGTGTTTTCCCATCATTATTTAAGGAGAGGGCTCGTTATTACACTATTTTATTGATTTGGTATTTTTTTAAAAACCTTTTACTTGTGTTCACACACACAAAATACCCTAGCTACTCTTGTTTACATGTAATAACAACCATTACTATCTCTACCTTTCTGGCTCTTTCTCATTCGTTTGTATCGCATAGACAAATTCAGCGGGGGCTCCCTCATTAATCAGTCTGTTATGCAACAATTTATTATTATTTTTGTAGTTAATGAAAAAAAACCAAATCATCCTCCATCACCACTATTACAACCACAAAGCACTATTTCTTATGCAACACTTGGGTTTAAAAAAAATCATTTCTTTTATTCTTCGCGTGTGTGTATATACTTCCTTCGTTCCACTTCCTCCGTTTTAAATACTTGCTCCATTTCTTCATGTACGGAGTTTTAGGAAAAATTGGAGAAAATAATAATATATGAAAGTAGTAGGGTAAGTGGAAGAATAAAAAAATTGTAAAAAGCAAAAATAGTGGAAAGGATTGGAGGAAGAAAATATGTAATGGGTTCACTATGTGAGAGAAATTAATTATATATTATAAAAACTTTCCAAATAAAGAAATGAAGCAAGTATTTAAAAACGGTCGAAAAAGAAAAGTGGAACAAGTATTTAAAAACGGAGGGAGTATTAATATTGCAACAATAGACTTTTTGCACTATTCATCACTCTTGTTTGACCTTATAATATAAATTTATACGTTAAGTAAAATATAGTCATGTGGAATCTTATTGGATTCGTCTCATAAAATACTTTCACAATATCAACTTTTTAAAATTTTTACTCTTACACAATTATAGATATTTAGCATATAAAATGTGCCTTGGGATGTTTAATTTCCTCCTTGTTGCAATATTAATAGAACGGAGTATATATATATTTGGTAGATGGAGCCTTACCTTAATTTTTAGCGGACCAAGCTTTTTCTGACGTTGACCAACTTGTGCAATTCACGTGAGCTCCTGTTCTCCTATCTCCACCCTTTTTACCTCCAAATCTCGCACAAATTACCCTTGTCCCTTTCTTCTTTTCAATGCGCCACATCCTTCACTATCTTCACTCAAATTTGATCCTCCTAATCCTCCCTAAGATTATTGTTTTTGCCATTTAAGAGTTTTCCATCTCAATTCAATCCAATTAAGCCAATGTTCATATGTTTTCCTTTCTAATTTCTCCATATTTTTTGTGCTGAAAATATTTATGCCCAAATGTATGCATTGAAAATTGTGCAAAAATATAAATGAAATATAAAAAAAAAAACAAAAAAATAAATAAATTATGCCCTACTATATGCATTGAATACAATGCAACAAGAGAAAAGAATCATATAAAAAAGAATGAAATAATAGTTACCCAGTACTCAACTTGGACATTCTCGAAGTCCTAATAAACTAAAACATACGAAGTCATAACAAACTAAAACATAAATTTCCCTACATATTTTGGTGAAATTCACCATCATGTGTAAGTTGTTGGGTCCAACAGACTACTCTTAAAGGCCCCCGATCGAATTGGTTTAAAATTACATAAAGATTATATAGATTACTCTATTCCTAAATCCTAATAGAATCAATACAATGTTGATATGATGCAATAACAGTATAAGGCATATATTCTGTACCATCATTAGCTCTTTCTTCCCCTTTTTCTCAATTACTGGCCTTCTTTCCGCCTTTTCTTATCCTGCCTCTTTTGCTCTTTTTGACCTACATGTATGAAACCAACCACCATTAATCTAATATCTTACTGAACAAAAAATGACAACGAAGCAAGAGACCAGAAGGCATCCCAGTAAGCATGTGAGACAGTGAAAGAAATTATACGTTTTTTCGCCTCTTTTCTTTTTCTCCTCAACCTCTCCATGTCTTGTTGCTTCTCTCCAAGCGCATTGAGATCCAGCCGTGTCTGCTCCATGAAAAATGTTTAGAATATATAATGAGAAAATGCAAGATTTATAGATTTTGACAGTTTTATTTGATGGAGTATGTAAATGATCAAAACTAGCAAATTCAAGGAGTCATTACTAAACAACACCCATTAGAGTAGAACTAAAACCTTACCAAAATACATATTGACACTCCCAATTTATGATGGTTCAATTCACCCTTTTTTTTAAAAAAAAAAATAAATAAATAAATAAATAAGTAAAAAAAATAAAAAAAAATTGAAGAAATGGTTCAACATTAAGCCTTGGATCAATATACTAACCCCATTGACCAAAGACTAGCCAGCTTCAAATGGTACAGCTGTACAAGTGTATAAGAGTAAAGGTGGTAGGCGTTTGTTTGGTTTTATATGAATTGCCCTGCATACATTTACCATAACACGTCTACAACACCACATAACTTTTTTAAGACAATTAACAATTCACTTAACCTTGGTCGTTGTCTCATTGAGAGTTTTGGGAATGACAGTGAAAATATCTACTTACTTTGGTCATGGAGATAAATTAACAAAGACATGCACATAAATTGTCCAATGTATTGGTCCATGAGGTACCAAAGTTGTAGCAACTGAGTATACAATTGCAGGGGTTTAAGAAAAAAATAAATAAGGGTAGGAGTTGAAACCGATTTCCCACGTGCAGAGGGTCTCAACTTATATACTATGCTAAAATCTGTACAATGTAATGAAAACACTCTCAGCCAATACCACTACATAATTGGAAATATGAACAAGCTGGGAGGCCTGGAGCACATCAGATGATATAGGAGTTAAAAAAATCCAATTAGGTGTGCAAATGGACTTATCAGCTCATTAGCAAAACAGTGAAAACAATGCACACTAATCTCACAAAATGAGTAGTAGTAATGTTTTAAATCAGCACATTACCTCAGGACCAGCCTCCGAAGTGCCTGGAGCGGCTCCACACAATCCTGGCCAATTACAGCTAAATTTTGTTTAATTTCCCCTGAATTTTTTTCGTTGCTCCAATTCTGTTGAGCTAGCTCTTCTAGTTGATGCTGCAGGAGTGGCGAAATGCCAGCCTGGAAAATAAAAAGTAGATAGTAAATATACAAAAGAAATGAAAGAAAAGACACACATACATGATACACAGAAATATTACAAGAGTAACTACTCAGTATTTCTTAGTTTCTTCACAAGTCTCTAGTGTTTGAAAGTGTTAGAACTTCCCCATCTAGTATGTACTTTATTATAATGTTTTGTAGGCCATCAAGTATTCGTTCGGAAATAGTGACTGATTTTTGTTGTTGTTGTTGATGTTCTAGGTCTTAATGTCATGCTTGTTGTATATTTACGACATGGTGACCTTTGGAATGGTTAGATTAGATTTTTAAGGTTGTATAACAATTGTCCTGCTAGTTTTTGCAACCAAAAGGTTGGACTGCCTCAGTAGGCTCCACAGTTTTCCAGACCATACCCTAAAGAAAATATTCATCAGCTATGTTCCTTTTTTAGGATATTACCTAAAGTAATCCATATGGGCATTTCAGAAATTTGTCATTCCGACATGGGTATGGAGTTTGGACACCCAGACAATAAATTCAAATAAAATCATGCATAATTCTTGCAAAATAACCGATCTGGAGACTTCTGTGTTGGATAGTCATAGTTGAGTAGAGTTCTACATAACAGAACATGTCACATGCAATGGGGTCGCTAGGTAAGGTGCTGTAGGAAACACAATATCTCGTGCGTACCCAGTGAGCAGTAATTGTCATTGTAAACCTGACCAGTTTTGCATAGGCTACCTTTATGTTGATTTTGAGTAACCCATTTTGAAAGAATTATTAAAAACACATGAAAAAAGACTGACATGATCACTCATAAAATTAATGAAAGAGAGAATTAAGGGTTCAAAGCGCAATGAATTTTCTTTACCTGGTGCATGACAGACTAGCAGTTTCAGGAAAGGTAAAAGTTGAAGTGACCCTTGGTTCCTTAAGTAAAAATTTGATTGATTCATAGTTAAATAAGAGTTCTATGTATCAGAACATGTCACATGCAATGGGGTGGTTTGCTAAGGTGCAATCAAAATTCAGAAATACAATATCGCTTGTGAGCCAAGTGCATAATAACTGTCATTGTACACCAAATCACTTTTGCATATGCTACCTCGTATTCTTTTTGTTAGTTATTTTTGAGGCCCTTTCAGCTTTTCGGCCCTGTGCAAGTGCATCCGGGTAAGGGTCGAGTCTGGAACCCATAAATTCCACCATCTACATACATGCAATTTCCTCAAAACATTGAGCAGGACTGACAACCCCATTGCAGCTCTCAACTACCCCCTATTCATCTTTCTCAACTGAATTAACCACCAACCATAGCCTCCATGGCCAAAATCTATTGGAGGAAAGAAAGGGTAGGAGATGAAAGCATGACCTCTGTGCTATAAAGATCGGACTTCAATAGAAATGCTCAAGACTTGGAGCATGGTCCATAACAGCTGATTTCAGAAGGCAACAACTACAAGTAGTTAACAGAAGGCACTCTAATCCTTTGTTTAACTTCCTTATCCTTATCTTTTTTTATGCCTTCTATCTTGGACTAGCTTATTTTTACTGTTTTCGTGGTTAAGTTGATATTTGGAAAATGTATAGAGCCTCTAACTGCATTTGACCAGTTATATATAGGTAATTAATAATGAGTTGGATGATCTGGATGTTATGGATCGACTCAACAAGGTCAACGGGCAAAGTCAGCCACCTTGGTTAGTGTATACAAGGCGCAAAAAGGGAAACCAGCAAGAGGTAGCAGCAACAACCACAAGCACCAATATGCAACAAGACAAATCTAATTAAGAAGGAGAGTTGGAAAGAAAACAATCAAGTTTAGAGTATGCTTTTATGGTTTTTCTATTTTCAGCTTAAGAGTCACGTGTATTAGCCCTAAGGCAATTGACCATTAGTAATATCTAGTATAAAAGTTGTAATGGAAGGAAAGGGAAGGCATCCAGAAATTTGAGAGAACTTTTGTGAGACTTGTGACCTCAAGTCACTATAGAGAGTGATAGCCTCAAGCTATTGTAATTCCTCAAGCCTTTGACATTAATGCAATCATCCAGCTTTACCTTCCCATTTATTGCTTACATTAAGTTTTAGTATCTCAGTACATAACAAGTGGTATTAGAGCAGGCGTTCCTACGACCACCGTCACCGGAAAACACCAGTTTAAAAAAAAAAAAAAATGGTTTCGACTCTCACACCAAGGGTCGAGCAATTGGAAGTGCAACTCACGGAGGTGGCTGAACGGTTGCGCGTCCATGAGGAGGCGATGAAAAAGTCAATTGAAGAAGCGGTTCAGAAAATTGAGGGGCAAATTGAAAAATTTCGCACAGACTACGAGGTAGCTCGTACCGGGGATAGGGCGGACCAGCTGAAGTTTCAACAAGAGCTCCGCGACTTGGTGGCCGGTATTCCGAAATCGCCAAGACAGCACCACCATCAGGAGGAGGAAATGTCGGCTTTCCATGGGGAGAACCGCATACGCCGTGAGGACGAAGGTGGAGGAGGGCGGTGGAAACCCAGGAAGTTGGAGATGCCGGCGTTCGACGGTGCAGATCCTGACGGGTGGCTTTTACGAGCAAAAATGTTTTTCGACTTCCACAAGTTGAGGGAGGAAGAGAAGGTGGAAGCCGCGGTGGTGGCTATGGAAGGGGCCGCCCTCAAATGGTACCACTGGGAGAGTAAGAGGCGGCCATTCCTAGGGTGGTCGGACCTTAAACGCCGCCTTTTAAATGAGTTCAGGCCGTCAAACGCCGGGACCTTGCACGGACAATGGTTGGCGGTGGAACAGACAGCGACGGTTGAGGAGTACCGCCGGCGGTTTATAGAACTGGCGTTCCCCCTTGAAGACGTTCCCGAAAGTTTGATGTTGGGGCAATTCCTCAATGGCCTTAAGGATGAGATTAAGGCTGAGATGCGCTAGTTAAATCCTTATAATTTGGATCAAGTCATGGAGATGGCTGTGAGGGTGGAAGAAAAACACCGTGTGAGTGGGCTAAAGGGGAAGGCTGTTGGGTCATGGAAGTCTGGGCCTGCGGCTAGTAGCCCAGGAGGGGGAGGCCCATTTGCTAAGAGTGGGGGTAGTGGGCTGATCCAAACTTATGGGGTGCCCAACTTGACCAGCCCGAAGGTTTGGCCCAAAGCTCAGTACATAACACTGGACCTAAGAAACCAATTTTTTCCAGCTCTTACATATGACGTTGATGTTGAAAATGTTATCATCTGTATTATACATTAAAAGGGCAGTAATTCTCAGAAGCGAACCAAATGCTTGGATGACAGCAGTGGTTTACCTTTCAAAAACTAGTCCATAGAGGGAGGGATTGTAGGAAGTCGCTGGGTTGACAAAGGGGGTGGCAAGAGGAGAGGTGGCAAGTTAAAAATGGGAGAGGTGGTAGGAGGTGGCGATGTTGACAAATTGACATTAAAGGAAGGTGACAGAGGAAACATTGATGAGGGTGGCTAAATTGACATTGAGGACTTTATGAGAATGGTTTGAAGGGAGACATGTGATGGAGGAACAATATAGCAATTTCTCCTTTCATTGGAGAACCAAGTTGGAAAAAAAGGAATCAATTTTCAACCAAAGAAAAGTAGCTGGAAAAAGTATACCACTAATTCACTCAACATAATAAGGACAGCTAGAACAGATGTGTACAAGGACCAGTTGCATGTAGTTTTTTTATAATCAAAATCATTCTCATGAAATGCAATATAGCCAAAGGAAAGTCAGAAAATTAGAATAATTGGCCATAGTATATTACCCCAGCCAAGAAGCGATGTGAAAAGGACTTTGGCTGCAATGGACGTGATAGCAACATACTGAGCTCCTGCAATTTCAGAGGAATATGCACATTGTGAGCAATCTGCGTATTGTCAATCTTTTTATCAGAAAAAAAAAAAAACGTCGGCTTAGATGTGAAGTCCATTGGTAAGTGGACATCAAAGGCTAATATCCTACATCCAGGGCTACCAACATTTCTGAAAATTGCATGCTCAACTTTACAGATATTTGTAAACTCTACCTGCTGAAGTTTTTTCATTTGTAAGGAGGATGCTTTCATATTCCTACATTTATTTACTCTTTCTTCTTCACTGTCATTTTCCTCCACATCCAGCCCTATTGCCTCAGCATTGCGCTTGATCCAGGTCTTATTTGCTTTTTCCTACAACAAAGATTATCAACAGATGAGGTTTTAATAAAATGAAAGCCTCAAAACTAAGCACAGGGTACTTAAGGAACTGACTGTCTTTGCTAATCAGCAATCAAAGAATCAAACTACAAGTCCAATTGGAGAAGAGACAAGTTTAATGTGACATTAGCTTACCTACATTATAAAATGCAGCAGATATGTCACAACTGCAATCACCACTTAGCAATAAAACAAAGAAGGAACATGTGTACTTAACATAAATTAGCTTGACTTTACAAAAAAAAAAAACAAAAAAAAAACAACAACAACAACAATGTCACAGTAGCCAACAGGAAATAATGAAGGCATAATCTCAAATATCAAAATTTAATCCCCCATGATATTGTGTCAATTTATAACTAACTAATCATAGGACATAAACTATTTAATAACACTAAGACCCTTCATTAATTTTAATTTAATATATTGGATTAAAGAATAAACAATGTTGTCTCTCCCATGCTCCAATTAGGAACAACAAATTAAATAGTTTGTAGCATACGTGGTTGGTATGTGTGTTTCTTGGTCATGGCCTTTGTCTCTCAATGACCCTGTAATGATCCAATTTCTATAGTTGTTACATTTACATGTATTTGAATAGCTTGGACGCATCAAGATGGTGGGAATTGAGTGGAGAGTTGGTTGTCACTCATAATTCGTTTTAATCCTTAAACATTGTATTTTCTTAAGCTTTGGTTTGATTGATTTACTCTACTTCTAATTTGGATTTTGAACAATGGCCTTAATGGTTCCAACTTGTTAGACAAAATTTGAATTTTTCATCATGGGCTTGAAACTTTATTTTGGTTAAATTAGTTTTCCGCTGCTAAATTATGATTATTACCTTAACATTTGAACACGTGGAGGTAGCACGCCGGTAAAACTGCACTAAGGGATAAGTTTACCCCCCATTTTTGAAGAAGCAAAAAGCCCCATAATTCATTAGAGATGGGTTGAACGTCAATCTCAGAGTATTACAATAAGTTTATAACTCTAGGAGTTGAGGCTCAATGGTTTGAGAAGAGGTTGACCAAGCAACTGCAAAAGGATCTAGCCGGAAAAGTTTTTAAGACTCTGGATAAGGTATGCACACAGGTAACATCTGAATGCAAGGGATGCAGGTGAGAGTAGGGTTGGAGAGAAGAGAAAGGACATCGGGAAGGTGACTTTAAGAGGTTTAGAGATGGGAACTCTGAGAAGAGTAACCAAAATGTTAGTGGTTCATCCAATGCAAACAATGGGGAGAGAAAATACTTCTGCAAGAGGTGTAGGGGAACCACCCTGGAGAGACTGTGATGGAAATTTGGTAACCATCAATGTAATAAGAAGAGGTATAAGGAGTTTAAATGTTACTCTAAGCAAAACTAGAAGGGGAGTGGAGGAAATGCATTAGCAAAAGGCCTAAATATTTCTACAATCAGGGAGGCAAGGGTAATGGACTAAGCAAGGAGAATGGGAACTCAAGGAATGGTAACAAACAAAACTGGCAACAATTGCACTAGCAAAGGCAACGATGGTAATCAGGGAAGGAACAACACTTTCAGGCGCTTGTTTGTGAAACTGAGTGTTTCATGAATACCTAGATTAGTTTAAATAGTTCGCACATGCATCACGATGGTGGAAATTAAGTGGAGAGTTGGTTGTCACCTGTAGTTTGCTTTATTACTTAAAACATTAGATTTTCTTACGGTTTGGTTTGATTGATTTACTCTACTTATTATTTGAGTTTTGAATAAGGGCCTTAATGGTTCCAACTTATTAGACCTAATTTGAATTTACGTTTTGGGATTGAAACCTTTATTTTGATTAAATTAGTTTCCCGCTGCTAAATTCTATTTAATGCCTTAACGTTTGAACACATGGTGGTAGCATGTTGGTAATTCTCTTAGTTTTAATTAAGATATTTCTAGGTAAAAAAAGAGAGAATTATTGGGGTGTTACAAAAATGATCTTGTTAACACTAAGAGGCAACAAAACAGTCCTACCCTACCACAAAAACCTCCACAATGATGTATACTAACTTAAATAAAAAAAAAAAATGGTTCCATTAAAATTCTTAAAAATGCATTACAAAAATGTCATTCTCTAGTAAAGCATCTTATTTATACCAGCATTAGAAACATACACAACAAAAGTATAAAATTCATTGTTTAAACAAAACCCTTCATTTAACAGGCGGAACACAATCAGGAAACAAGATATGCCCTCATTTGATAACTGATACGTCACCAAGGTGACTAAGAAACTCAATTTAATTATAAAACATCCAAATATCTATAATCATCAAGAAAGTAAAATCATAACAGTAGATTAATAATTTACCTTTGAGTCTCTCCGCGAAATCTTATCTATTTGGCAAGCAAGAGATAAACGCTTCTGAACTTCAGGCATGTAGGAGTTTTGGATAGGAAAACGTTGAAGTGATTCCTGCATTTACGGAAAAGCCTCAGTAAGGAAAATCAATCTAAAAACTGAATGTCAAATATCCTTTCCAAAAAAAATATGCGTCTATCTTCTATTCACTGCCATATATATTGAAAGAGCCAGACCTTGCCAAAAGATTTGCACAAAGAGGAGAACTTTGCTCTATCATTTGATGAGACTAGTAACACACTGCATCCATCAGTATTAGCTCTAGCAGTTCTTCCACTTCTGTGCACATAAACCTAAGACAAAAAATAACCCAGTTCTGTAAATTTAATTGAATTTAAATTTGCTTGGCAATTGAAGCAAGAGAAGAATGTTCCAATTACTTCTGCTGCATGTGGAAGCTGATAGTGGATAACAGTACGAACTCCGGGTATGTCCAGTCCTCTAGCAGCCCCATCACTAGCAACAAGTATTCCATTCTTATTCTCACGGAAGCGATCAAGTGCCTGTGTGAACAGCTCAAAGGAAGCACTTATCAACAGAAATTTTTTTGAATTCATAAAAAGAAAACCTAAAGAGGGCAAAGCACTGTGTCCAAACAGACAAAAAAGTTAAGAAAATAAGAAAAGATATCTGTACATGCATTCTATAATCATGATCACCAATGTGTCCAAACATTTAGCATCTCAAGGGTCAGTTAATTTAGAAAATATGATTAGCAAGGTCAAATTAGTTCAGTAATACAAAAGGCAAAAAAGAGAGGAAACAGTCAAACCACCCCCCTCTCACCAGTCACTATGCAGAATAAGAAATAATAACAAACATTTCCTCCTTTTTTTTTAAATGAAACATAATCCTTCTTGGATATTTGCAATTAATTGCAACAATACTATAAGTACAATGATTTTCTCTATTCGTCTACTTATCACACTGGTACCATATTTCTCAATCTATCTCTCATAAAATACCGTCCACCCCCCCACAAATAGAACAGAGGAAGCATCCTAATGAGGCTATACAACAGGCAACAAATACAAGTATCGAGGAGGACACCACAAAATATAAAGACCATTAGAAACAGAATAGTTACACTAATCCCCTAGCTAGTTCAAGGTTTTTTAAAAAATGTCATCTAAGGCCACATTTACCAAAATTTTACAGTGTAAGCCACCATAAATTGGCATGCACATTAACACAACCTGCCAGTATCGACTTCCAGGTCACTCTGAATCTAGCTGCGGTCAGGCCGGTCACTGATCCCTAATCTCAATAACTTTTGGTTGAGTATATAGGCCACGCTGCAAAATACACCTCCAATATTTCACACAAAGCAGTAATCTTCTTAACCATTCCCATGTCTTATCAGGTGACAAACTTGCCATCACCTGTTTAGTGATGCTACCTGACTGTCTCCATTTCCCACTGCATTTCCAATGCAAAGGCAGCATAGGCTACAGGATCAACTTTTCGTCATACCAAAACTTATAGTATCCCCAATACCAACATCCCCCTCCCTCCCCCTATCCTCATCTCCTTCATGTATAACTCGGTGACATGAACAGAATCCAGCACCAAAATAATCATCAAAGATAATCTTTGAATTCTACGATGACTTCACCTCCATTCATTTACCAAATTTTACAGTGTAAGCTAACATGCAACAGCTAACATCATCCCCAAATAATGAATTTTGAAAATCTGTCTTGCCAATCAAGGCATAGCAAACCATAGGACAGCTAATAGGGACAAAACTATCTCAAATACTAGTAGCTTTATTGCAAGAGTCGCAGTATCGACATGTCAAGCAAGTTCGGACACAACTCCTGAGATGTTTGGCTGTACTACTTGTTTACCTATAAATACTAAATACAAACTTTTACAAAGTTCACAACAATCATAAAATTATATTTTATCAACTAGTGCCATTATCAAACACCACGAGATATTCAAATCTTGATTACCAATGAGTAACAATCACTAAAGAAATTTCCTTTTTGTAAACAATCACAGCTTCCAATCTTCCACACCCATGAAACATCCACCATGTCCGTCAAAACACTATTTTCATAACAAAGGATTCAGCAATAATTTTCTTGTGTAGTAGAAAGCTCAGCAAACAAGGGGCTTTTTTAAATAAGCCTCCCTACCAACTAATCAAATTTTCAACATAATTGATTTAATATCACATTCTAGAATACAATTTTATAAGGTTTAAGACACCATCGGCCAAGCTGTAAAATACAGTAGCAAATATTATGACCGGGACCTTGAAACTATAATACAACTTCAATTGCTGACAATGTCTATCAGATTATTAAGAGAGGTTCATACATCAACAGCCCTTTTGTGGCTTGATCATTTATTTGTGGAGCATTAACTAGTACGAGTATCACCCAAATATGCAAGTTGAAATTCATTTACAGATAAATGCGGCAATAAGAACTAAAATCTCAATTCGAAGATACTAAGAATACCAAACCCGTAACCCAGAAAGAAAAAAAAAAAAAAAAGGATAGGATAACAGGTACCCTTGGCGTTAAGAAAAGAAAACCTCACTGCATTAGCCCCTTGAGCCAAGGAAAAAAAAAGAGCATCCTCTATAAAATATTGACAGTATACTTATTGTGACGGTGTGCACTACCAAAAATGTCACAAAATGACAGAAACTATTTTTTATTATAAAAATAATAATAAATTAATTAAAAAAGCATGGCATGAGACTGACCTTTAACCGAGCTCGCTGCTGCATCTCACCATGAAGGATACAAATGTTTACTTGAAGGGTGCGTAAAAGAGCAGCAACATGGCGTAATGCAGTGATTGATGAGCAGAAAACAATCGTTTGGCCTCGACCATGAACACACAAAATGTAATACAAGTAGGCATCCTTGTCTTCTTCACTACACCTGAAATAGAATACTTTGCGAATCAGTCTAAGGTGTTGTTTGGTTGCACATAAAAAATAGAGGAATTGAAAATTCCCATGAATTTGGAAATAGGAGGCTAGTTTGGTAGACCACAAAAAGTGATAATGTGGGAAGTGCAAAATCATGGGAATTTCCAATTCCTGCAAAATATGGGAATTTAATTACCAAGGTCCCCCTTGGTAATTCAAAATTCCCATGATTTGTAAATACCCATATAACAACCAAACAAGTTTTGTAAATTCCTACGAAATTAGATGTGGGATTTTAATTCCCATGAAATACAAATGCCTTTAGGAAATAAATTCCGTTGTCAACCAAACAAGCCCTAAGAAAATGACAATAGCTACAAACAATTGTTAAAATCAAGATTATTACAAAATAAGCAGCACACATACAATTTATTAGAAACCAATTCAAAGGATACTGGCTATTTCACAATCACCAACATAATAGACATGGAACTAAGTGAACATGAAAGATGAAACACACATACATTATGGATACCAGTACGGGACATCCATCTGTCCGAAATCATATGATTTTGATATGATGAGTCTCAAATTTAATATCCAGTTGGATATGGAACTTACTATATATGGGAGATGTTGCACCACCCATTGCAAATAGTCATCCACAGGATATTATTAAATATATTAATCTTTTTTCAAAATTATTAATAGGTTATATTTGTGGACATTCATAAACTAATACTTCATAAACCTAATTATAATAGTTATAATTGATGAACTGTTACATGTTACTATGAATACAAGTTTCCACAGTTCCACCAATTGAGAGCTTCAATTAGCACCACAAAAGTCTTTGTGCACTCCCACTTGAGAGTCGAGACAGCATGATTTCCAACAAGACATTCTTTCACAAGGAAGCATAATAGTAAACTGTAGAAAATGCAAGTAGCATGTTTTTATTATCTGTTGATCTATTCTCAAATTAAAATCTTTACACTTTTTTTGAGGCGGGCTTAAATGTTGGATTCTACATTATTTGATATGTTAGTTATATAACTAGGTTAAACACTAATTATACAATTACTATCAGTGAAGGTACAAAAAATAAAATTAAAAATAAAAAAGCTTCCACATAATTCGAAGGTTTTCAGTTATAAAGTTTTTAAATATCCATTGGGTCACCCATTAGATATAGATATGTGGATATGAAATAAAGCTCATGGTTATAAATATGGAAAAAACAAATGCAGCTCCACTTAATCCACATCCAATCCATTACCATCACTAATTATTCAAGCACATGAGATAGACAACATACTCAAGGAAGCACTCCACAAGATTGCTGGTCATTATTGATTCACTGGTTAAATCAAATATTGCAGCATCGGGTTTCATTCCTGCTCTTTCTGATAGAGCTTCTAAAGAGGATAATCCATCAGTAGCTGGCTGTTTTAATTTAAGGGTTCCACGTTTTAGCTTTTTGCGAAAGTCACGAGATAATGCAATTGTTGCAGAAAACACAAATGTTTGACGTTTCTTCCTCTGGAAATTAGATATAGTTGTGCAATTCTCCACATCCTGGGAGTGCTTTTCATTAGCTCCAATAGATCCAGGAAGCATGTCAATTATTGACTGTAGTTCTTGAAAATGCCCATTCTCAATCATTCGATCTGCTTCATCCAGAACAAAGAAAGATAACGAATGTAACTGCAAATACAGGATCAAATATCTGGTTAATTTAATGTAACTGCAAATACAGGATCAAATATCTGGTTAATTTAATGTAACTGCAAATACAGGATCAAATATCTGGTTAACTTAAGGAAAGACCATATTTTGCAAGGCTAATTAATTTATAGCATCAGGAAAACACATCTATATCTGTACTTATAATTTTATAAAAAAGAATGTGCCACGTGTCCCCCATTAAGCACTACAAATGTGCCACATCTATATCTGTAATATGTATTAGATGTGAGTGACAAACCAAAAAAAATATGCTTATACAAAGGCCTTGAACTTGAGACCAACTTAGCGCATTTGATATTCTTTCATAACCAACAAAAATATCGTTACTATGAAAAAATGAGGGTTTAATTGTACCCATATTCCATTTTGTAATGATCATAATTCATAAAGCAATATAGCAACTTTTAGTTTTGAAGTTATGCAAAGTAGTATATTTTTTTTCTTTTATGAAATATGTTTTATTTTTTTTGTTAAATAGTCAATGTCATACAAAACAATGAACACGGTTCTCCTAATACAAACAACCCAAAAAAATATAGAACAAAAGTACTCAAAAAGATACACTAAATAAGTTTAATGATGATGATGATGATGATAATAATAATAATAATAATAATAATAATAAATAAATAAATAAATAAAACAGTCAAACATGCTTATGAAACTAAACAAGTACTAAGTAGAAAGCCGAGGCTTTACTCGAGCTACACACAAATTGAGCTATCAATACTCTACCAAACAAAAGGCATGAGGGAGAAGGATTCTACATAAACCTGCCAACAATTAGGAAGAAGGGGAAAGTTCCAAGTGGAGCAAACATGCCATATCATACTCTCTGAGAAAGAAAAGCTCTAAATATTTATAATATAAGCCAACCCCCTCTACTTCTCTTCCCTTTATCTATCCTAGTAAACTCTTGGACAACAAATTTTGAAAATTTAGCCAAGTTAACTTCAGGACAACAATTGCTTCCTCACTAGAAATATAGCTTCTGTTCATATGCAGCTTTTTTTTTCAAGCATTGATACATCAAAAAATTTATTGAAGCAATATTTTTGCGTTTTCATAGAATCCTTGTCTTTCTTTCCCAACTATCAAAACCACAATATTTTCCTTAAACAAATCCTGTTTTAGTTCAACTAAGCTTTTACTACCTCCGTTACATATTAGTTGCAACTTTTGCCAAAACGGGTTGCTACACATTAGTTGCAACTTTCCATTTTTTTCAATGAAAGTACAAAAATACCCTTACTAAATATTTTGTAAACACAATTAGTTACCCAAATCAGATTTCATTAAATTTTTAATCTAACTTATTTAACATGATCATATCACCCAATTAAATCAACAATCATAAAAAATCATTCAACTTTCATCTTCATCTCCCACGAAAATAATTAGACCACCATTGCATCTTTACCGTCGCCGTCGCTGCGTCTTTCCATCACCATCTTCAACATCGTTGATGGTCATCATCACCGTCAAAGTCGGTGTCGCCTCCTCCGTTGTTCTTCCCTCTCTCTCTCTTCTTTTTTTTTAAAAACAATCGTTTAGATCTGTTGAATTGCGGGGTGGGTGGGCTAACTCGGGGTGGTTCGAGGCAGTTTCTGGGTGGATTAGGTTGAGTTAGGGTGGTTTTGGTATGGTTCGGGGTGAGTGAGGGTAGTTTTGGGGCAATTCAAGGTGAGTGAGGGTGGTTTTGGTGGTGAGTGACAGACTGACGGTGGTTGTTCTGGGGTGGTTTTGGTGGAGAGAGTACGGTTTCGAGGGGGTAGTTTTAAAGTTGTTTGGGCTGGGAGACGGTGGCTTTGTGGTTGTTCAGGTGGAGAGGGAGTGGTTTTACTGTTGTTCAAGTGTGTGTGGGTGGTTTCAGGGTGGTTCGGGTAGAGATGTGGTGATTTCAAGGTGGTTCAGGTTGAAATGGGGTGGTGTTTAGGTTGAACTTGGTGGTTTCAGGGTGGCTGCTACAATGGTGGACTGGTGGGCTCGGTGGTGCTGGTGGTGGTTATTAATTGATTATTTACATTCACTTTCTCTCTCTTACCTTTAATTTACTACCCTTTAATTCATTAATCAACCATTATAAAATTTTGTCTTAAAATCCGTGTCGAGCTCAAAGTTGCAACTAATTCGAAACGGAGGTAGTAAAATCTTTCACTAGGCAATAACACTTTGTTTGGATAGAAGGAAATGGAAGGAAAGAAGGGAAGAGAAAGGGAGGGGGACAAACTCTCTTGTTTGGGTAAAGGATTGGGGAAAGGAAGGGAAAGGAGATGGAGGAATCCATTTTCCCTCTCTATTTAATAAGCAAAATCCCTCCAAAGTTGGAGAGATTTGGAGGGAAAATGGAGCTCACCTTTCCCTCCCTTTCTTTTCCCTTCCCTTCCCTTCCTCCTCTTTCCCTCCCCTTCCTCCTCTTTCCCTCCCCTTCCTTTAAACTTCTTTCACACTATCTATTTTAAAACAATTCTACCAGTCTGCCATCCATTAGTACCTAATACAGGTGCAGATCCAAGTGTCCAATACTCCAATACAAAAAAAATTTAATATATAGGGGTACTGTCCTAAATTTGGACACGAGTTTGGGGGTAAGGCAAGTTGATTTTTTTTTTCTTTTTTAAAGGGTTTTAATAATCTAATTTTTAGTTGGTTGAGTATTATAAAAGAAGACATCAGAGACTTATAATATTAGCTCCTAGACCGGTAAATATAAGTTATAAATATAAAAGGCATAAGTGCGCAACACAAGCCCAAACTAATGACTGACTTCAAAATCTTAAACCTTTAATCTGAAGCATTAATCAACACCCATAAAGGTTGTAATTCAAGCTAACGTTGTTATTTTACCAGCCTTGCAAGAGGAGAGTAGACAAGAGAGAACCATCGAGCACTGCACAGGTGAAGACAGTCAGAACTCCGACAATCTCAACTGACTCGCCTCTCTCCGTCAAACAAAACCCCCAATATCTTTAGCTCATTATGTTGGATTTCTTCTTCAATGACAGGTACATGGACAGTTCTGAAAAGCTCCCATTATTGACTAGATCTCCCTCCCTTCTCGCTGTTCTTTGGGGGGTATTCTGCTGGTTTATGGTTAGAGTAGGCAACCGTATCTGAGTGCAAACTGGTGTACCCCCTAAAGTCTGTAGCATATCCAGCAGTTCTTCTGACATGATTCACCCTGTCCTACTAGGAAACAAGGGACATGCTATCTATTTGTCTAAAGTTCCGATGGATCTGCTATTATTAGTTCTATTAAAAAGATTTTCAATTCCTTTATTTATTATTAAACAATTGGATAAGTTTATTCCGAGACATGAGATTTGCTAAATGAAGTAATCTAAAAGACACAGCAGCAGGGCAAGGTTTGTGCAAACAGACATCCATTCCATAAACAAAATACATAATAACAAACATACACTCCAACAGGCAAAAAAATTGAATTGCAAACACAGAAACACAAATTATGACTCACAAAAGGATCTAGACTTCTAGAGATTACAGTTATATTGCCCAATTCCCAAATTAACACCATTATGAATGCAGTTCCTCTGTATATTTAGTTGCAATCTGGGGAAGAGGCATAGGGTTTCAAGAGACCTTGGTGATGAGGAGATAGGGAGAGATGGTAAATGTGCCATGTAATAAGAGAGAAAATAAGAAACCAAAAGCTAGAAAGTTATGTTGCAACTAATTCCCAAAAATAATGATGCAACTAAAAAACGGAGCAAGAAGTATATTTTCGGAATAAGATAACATGTCTGTGCTTTCTTTAATAATCGTTTTTTGAATATATTACACTCCAAAATATTCAGGCAGATTTGCAGGTCAAAAAATGTGCAATGAAGCCAGTAAAGTGTCTACTAGCACTGTGAACAAGGGAGAGGAATATTTCCAGATCCCAAGAGCAAGACGTCAGCAGACCACTTGTGTAGTTTATGTGGAAACTCTTTCTATGTATATATCTTGAGGTGGTTCTATTGACTTCTATATCTGTACCATGTACACCATAACTGCAAACATACCTCAGCTAGGTGCTTTTCTCCCCCTGACATGAGTTCCCACAGCCTCCCAGGAGTGCCAACTATAATTTCAGGCCTAGCTTTTAAAAGCCTCTCTTGCTTCTCTGTTGACATTCCGCCAACAATAGCAACCACCCGGAAATTAGTAGATGTAGCTGCTGCTTTAAGATGATCAGTCACCTGAAAAAGAAACAGTCAAACACATATAGAAGTAAAACATATGAGGTCAGCAATAACTGCAGAGCAACTATCAGTCTATCACTACTTACTTCAAATTATATTGTATATATATATTTCAATATTTGACCTTGACTAGCTAAAACTAAGATTACATATAGATGTTGATTGTTTCTCTTAGAGAGACCATGCCATGCAGAATAGTTGATGGAAAAACATTCATAGTTGGTAATTGGTGCTTGGAGTCACGATGTTTATCTTTTTCTACGAAGGAAATAAATTGATATGAATAAGGGGCAGAATTTATATATGTTAGGAATCTTCTCCAAAAGAGCAAGCCACAAGAATCATACAGCCAAAATATGAAATCATCACAGCTCAAAATGCCCACATCTTCTAAATATAGTATTTACAGCTATAATATCGCAAGACTCAGAATTTTTATTACAAAGGTTCTCTGTTTAGAACAAAGCACTTTGGATAGTGCATGCAACAGGAGGAGAAGGCAAGATTTGAGAAGTGAATAATGGCACTGATCACAAATATGATAATGAAGTACCTGAAGGGCAAGTTCTCTTGTAGGAGTTATTATCAAAGCTCGGATGAAGCCTCTTGGTGCAATTATCTCAGCAGCATCCGCATCATCTAACATCAGCTTATCCACCTTCTCTTGCTCATCAAGAAGGCGTTGTAAGATTGGCAAGCCAAAGGCAAGTGTTTTCCCAGATCCAGTCTCTGCAGCACCAATAACATCCTACAATCCACAATAAAAATTAGTAATAAGATCCACATCTACTCTACATTACCCTCACAAAAAAGCACAAACCTTTCCCTGATGTGCAGCAGCAGGTATACAGGCCTTTTGAATTGGCGTCGGTTGTTTAAATCCAAGCTTGTGTATTGCTTTCATGAGAAGTGGATGAAGCCTAAGCTCATTCCATTCATTAAATTCATCTTCATCGACCAACTCTTCATCATTTTCAGTGTTGGTTTCGGTAACTAACATCAAGAGAAATGAATTAGCAGTAAATCGCTAGCCCTTTTTTTTTTTTTTTTGTTGATAAATAGAAGCAATGAATCCTTTGTCAACTCAATCAATTTATAACACCCAAATTTTGAAATATCCAGGTAAATATTTCCAAAAATAAATGAACTACTTTGTATATATTAACAGAAAGTTTCCACAAATATGTCTACTCGTAGTATTATTTTTCCACATTTTTCCCCAAGTGAACTATAACAAGATCATACATTTTTTACCCTTCTACATAATTTTCCTTGGAAATTTTAGATCGCAAACACTACATCACTGACATCCAAGCTTCTATAATTTAAGCACAAACAACCTCCGCCCAAATGTACCACATACCGCCAATGGTTTCACGTGGTTAAAGACATAGAAAGCCCAAACACTACATCACAGACATCCAAGCTTCTAACAAAAGCTGATTCCTAAATATCCTAGCGAAGCTGCTAAATTGGTCTAATCAACTAAGATTCACCCTAAAGTATGGCTTCATGCATTTGAACTGCCATTATAACTAAATAACACATCAAAGCTCGGAAAATCCAACAGGCATACACTTTTTTTAAAACAATGATATAATTAACAACCTAATCACGTTTACATGCTTAGCAAATTCAGCATAACAAAACGCCAAATAAATTAATACGACCACTAGAATGCAATAGAATTAACATAGCAGAGCATACACACCATGTGTTTGCACTTGCTTCTCCTTCTTATTCTTCTTCTTCTTCTTCTTATTCGGTTTTACATTAGACTCTTTCGTATCATTCTCAGCCGCGATTTCAACATCGCCATCGTTAGCTTGCGTTGGCAATTGTTTCGCCTTCTTTTTCTTAAAAATTATCTTCTTCTTTTTCACATTACCAGCTTCCACCACTTTATCAGCCTCAACTTCAACATTATCAACATCTTTCACCCCAACTTTCTCCACTCGTTTCCTCTTCTTCGTCTTCTGAGACGAATTCTCTGGTTTTTCCTCAACACTACCTTTTCTGAATTCCGGAATTGCAAAATCATACTCGCGATCATCAATCTCTTCTAGCGACACAAATCCTACACGAAATTCCAAATTTATCAAATTCAACCCAAACTAAAAGCATTTCCGATGAAATATTTCTTATAATTAATCAACAATAACCCAATTATAATATACCATAGGTTATACACTACTGTAAACAGTTCAACGTACCATATATTTCATCATTGGCAGCAGCGCCGGCGCGAGCGCGTGGCATGGTGAAAATGATCGGAGTTTGGTCGGAGGTGGCCGCAGATGGTGGGAATTGGCGGTGGGCGAAGTTCGGAGAGAGGGGCGGCTGTTGGGGTTTAAGAGGAGAGTGAAGAAAGAGGGATGAATTTTACATAGCAGGGTTTAGCAGGCCTGAGCACGGTAGCACAGGGGTACAATGGTAAAACATAAAAAAAAAATTATGACAGTCGGTGTTTTTGATTTTCTAAAATAAGTTACTCTTAACAAATTACAGCCGTTTGAGATTTAAGTGACAAAAAATATGTGACGTCTAAAGTTGTGACAATTGTGTTTGCTTTGACAATTTACCGTTCTTTTGGTCGTTGCTTTGGTATTTAGCTCCCAACGGTCACTTTTTTTTTTCTTTTTCTTTTGTTTTCTTCTTTACATTTTGGCATGTAGGTCGAGGCTTGGTTTTCGGAAATTCTGGTTTCCTAATGAAGATAGAAACCTTTTAGCAAACTCAGCATTCATGAGGAAGCTAAAAAGTACATAAACGAAGAGCTAAAAGGATAAATATCTTCTTGAATGCTGGTGCTCTTAGACCATCTCGACTCAATTTTGATTATTGATGAAATACGAAATGAGTTGTGTTTTACCTCTAATGGTGATACATAACTCACTTCTCAATTTAGCAACTCGTGTGAAGTTTAATTTCATAATAATATTATTTTTAATTTAAGAAAATTTGACTTTTACCACCAAAAAAAATCAAAACATTGTCTTTTACCACCATAACTTCTAAAACTTTTATTTTACTTCCCAAAAAAATCTAAAAATTGTTTTTTTCCACTTAACGTCAAGGAAACGGTGAAACTTCCACTTAACGTCAAGAAAACGGTGAAATTCTTCGAATTTCATGCGCAAAACATGTTCTTCATAGGTTTAAGAAGTTAAGTTAAAATACAGTCTTGAACTTTGATATTTGTAGCATTTTAGTCCATAAACTTTTAGGATTTTTTTACTTTTACCAACAAAAATAATCAAAAAATTGTTTTTTACCACCAAAACTTCTAAAACTTTTAATTTACCACCAAATAAAAAAAATTAAAATTTGTTTTTTACCGCTTGTCATCAAAAACCTAACGGAATTTTTTAAATTCTTCGATTTTCGTGTCAAACACATGGTTTTCAGGAGGTTTGGAGGGCATTATGGGCCTATAGAACCAATTTGAGGTCATAATTGACAAAAAAAATGATCGGAAATGTCTCGTTTTGTGTGTTAAAAATACCTCGATTTGTGTGAAACACACAAAATGAGGCATTTCCGATCATTTTTGTCAATTCTAACCTCAAATTGGATCCAAAGGGCCAAAATGCCCCCTAAACCCATGAAGAACATGTTTTGCGCATGAAATTCGAAGAATTTTTTTTTGAACTGTTAGAGTTTATAGTTTTCTTGACGTTAGGTGGTAAAAAACAATTTTTAGAATTTAAACTAAAGCTTAGGGACTTATAACGTGGTTTTTTTTTACCAATTAAATATTATAAAGTGATTTGACAAGAATTAAAATTGCTAATAAAATTTGATAATCATGATTTATTTTATATTTTTTATAATAATTTTTCTTCTTACCCTTTTTTCGTAATCAAATTTTTTATAATATATCTCAATCAACTAACTCATTAACCACACATCCTCAAATCCTAAGTCCTTACCCCTTATATATTTCATACACCAAAAAAAAATTAAATAAAAATAATAAAACAAAAAAAGTGCAATGTGTTTTCAAAGTGAGTGAGGAAGACAAAATCCAAACTCTATAATATAAAACTAAATAGAAATATGAAAATATTGAAAACTAGAATAAAAAATAATACCATCCCACTTTTCTTTCAAATTGACAATTTATTTTCATGAGTTTACTTTCTAAAAGGGTTTCAATTTTTTTGGATTTTGTGTGTAACTTTCAAGGTTTTTTTTAAAATTATTCTATGTGTTTATGTTCTAAATGATTTTCAATATTTTTGGTTATTTTGTGTGACAATTTTTACGGTTTCTTTTTTTGTTTTTTCTTGTGTTAATTTCAAAGAAAAAATAATAATTGCCATAGATTATTAACTTATTTAATTGAACGAGTAAAAACTAAGAAGGAATTTTTCTTTCACAAACAAATTTCGAATTATAGCAAGATTTTAGCGAGAATTCTTAACATATTTTAGTGAAAGAAAGTGGATTGTGACCATGAATTTCACATTTAAAATATCTCTCACTCATATATTTTTATAAAGTTAATAATTTTTAGTAAATTTAATTTTGTTGAAATCAAATTAAATTAATTGAACTAAATTACACTTATAGGTTAAAACTTATAATCACTCTTATATGGGAGCGCCATGTGTCCCTATAGGTCCCTTAACTTTGGCCAATAATTATTGCATTAGCCACCTCACCCAATAGGTCCCTAAACTTTCATTTCTAATTTAATTAAAGTCAACTCATCAGCTCAAGGTCCCCAAACTTTGCTTTTAAAATCATTAAATTTATTGTCACATGTGCACTAAGGTCCCTAAACTATGCTTAGTTAGCTAATTTGTACCTGAAAAGTGAGTCATTGGTGGTTAAGGGATCATTTTGCCTCACTTAAAAGTTGAGGGACTAAAATGCTACAAATACCAAAGCAAGTTCAAGAAGTGTATTTTACTTTAACTCTAGGTTTAGGGGGTATTTTGGTCCAATGGGTCCAATTTGAGGTTAGAATTGACAAAAAAATGATCGAAAATGTCTCGTTTTGCGTATATTAAGCAAATAGAGGTATTTTAAACACACAAAACGAGGCATTTCCGATCATTTTTTGTCAATTCTGACCTCAAATTAGGTCCTTAGAACCAAAATGCCCTCCAAAACCCCTAAAGACCATGTGTTTGATACGAAAATCGAAGAATTTTAAAAAATTCCATTAGGTTTTTGACAACGGGTGGTAAAAAACAACTTTTATTTTTTTATTTGGTGGTAAAATAAAAGTTATAGAAGTTTTTTTTTTGAAAGAAGTCCTAAAGGACACTAAATTTCATTAATATAAGCCATACGACATCTACAATTGATAATGAACGATAATGAAAACGAATTTAATAAAATCAAACAAGAATTAATCGGGGAATGGCTAAGAATACAAATACATAAATAAAACAATTTGGCATATTCTCGATTCGTTGTCTGATACAACTTTTTGAGTGGATCCTTCGTCGCCCACAATTTTGTGAGAAAGTAAATTCTTGCGCTGATTTCGTAACCCGAATCCGAGCCATAATCAATAGTAGTCCCGCACAATCGGAGACTAAATTAAGCACAAATAAAACATTGTCTTTCGATGGAGTACGAAAAACCTTGTCTTTCCAAGGAGATCGAAAAAACCTTGTCTTTTGAAGGAGATAAACCCTTTCTTTCGAGGGAGACCTTATTGTAACCTAAAACAAAAGGTTTAAAAGAAAATAAAGATTGGGGCTTTCTATTGGTGAAATCCGATGGAATCCCCTTTAAAATTGACAATGGAGACTATGTTTAGGAGAGAGAAGAGAGAAAAGGAGGCCAGGGTTTAAAGTAATGCACTTTGTACAACATATATTTATGATGATTGATGGAAAGTTATAGAAGTTTTGGTGGTAAAAAAACATTTTTTTTTTAGTAAAAGTAAAAAATTCCTTCAATTTATGGCCCACCTAATTCATATTGTAAGTTTTTCTTAAAAAAAAAACCTTAAATTAATTAAATATTATACGTAATAATATTTATCAATATTATAATATTGATAAAGGCCCACACTTTTTGTCAAATGAGACTCAAAGTTGAATGTCTAAACTTAACAAATTTCTTTTGGAGTTGCTAATTTTAAATATCAAATTATTGATATCCTTTGCAAAAAATACTCTCTTTCTCTCTCTCTTAAAAAAACTCCATCAAGTCTCACCACTGGAGATGGTCTTAAAATTGAAATTTTTAATAAAAAAATTAATTATGAAAGTCCTTTTCACGAGGGAAATTCTTACATGGAGTTTAGTTTGCGTAAGGAAAATGGAATGAAATTCATAAAGGGAATCATAGTGAAAGGAAATGAACGACCCTAAATCTCCCTAGTTGTTTAATTTGGGTTTGTCCTTTAAAAGGAATGAAGAGTATTCTTAAATTTTCATTGTAATTGTTGGATTAATTTAGAGATCGTTTGGTTTGATTTCATGTGATAAATGGAAAGAATGGAATGGATAAAGGGAAATAAAGATAATGGAATGGAAAAAACCCTTACATTTACAGTAATGCCTCATAATTTTGAGAATTATTTTTCTTATTTAATTTCAAAAGGGTATTTTAGTAATTTAAAAAGGTCTATATGCCATATCGGTAGTTTGGGATTGATCACCTAGTTTAGGGATTCTTTTAAAGTTTCATAATAAGTTTGTACTCTACAACTTTGGTCGAGTTTAAATAAAATAAAGTTTATTTTAGCTTCCGCTGCTAAGTTCATAGGTTTGAGTTAGCCTTACGTTTTCATGTGACGATAATATGCCCAACTCTGCCTCTACGATAATTTATACATATTATTCTACTATTCCGTAGAGGGAGATTTGAGGGTGTTATAAAATGGTATCAGTTTGTCGGGTTTTTAAATTAAAATTGGAAATAAATTTGGTGGGTAGACTTAAGATGGACATATAGGATAGAGTTTCACATTCTTGTAAAAGAAATTTATTTTCTACAAAAGCCATTTTTTCTTTTTGGAAAGAGGATTGAAAAAAGATGCACAAGTTCTCACACTCTATCTAGGAAATTCTGGGAGGGTGAGACCTATAATGAGTGCGACTCTCTATCTAGGTACGGCTCTCCTCGACGTTGTGGGTAACTTACCTAGGAGACTCGGGCTTGACCGTTCTTTATCAAGAATCAAGTATACAATGATTATTTTTGAAAATAAATAAAATGAATTGAATGTATTTGATTTTTGAAGTAAATGTGTGAGTTATGTGCATATAAATTTGGTATCCACCCATCGCTGTTATCGGCGACCAAGCCATCCCAACCTCAGCTCTAGCCCTAGTCCCGACACCCCTCTTTGACCCAAGCTTGCCCTAGCCCCTACACCGGATTTAAATGTAACACCCCCAAATCTCCCTCTACAGAAATACCAATATAATAAGTATTATCACCACGTGATTATGCAAGGCTACCAAACTTACTAAATAAAACCAATACTTTGCAGCGGAAACTTCAATACTCTTTTAT